CTAAGACAGTGAAAAGATTTTTACTAAAATTCAGTCATAGGTCTTCAAAATGTTTATATTATTCAAGAAATTTATACAGGAGGGAGCCAAAAATTCTTCTCCTATGACGTCACATGCGTCCGAGTCCCAGAAAAGAGGGACCGGTAGTTTTATTTCATCCCTAACGAAATTCGTTATTTTCAGATAATTTCATTGTACTAGTACGCTTAATAAATCGAATAAATTCAATTCGACAGTTTTGATCTCTTTTTAATTCCTACTACATTAGAATATTTATAAAATCTAAGGTCGAATATTTTGCGATAAGGTTTCGAACAAATCCTGGGGTTTGTTTTCAAATACTGAGAGAATATTGCGCTACTACTGTGTGACTGTCTTTGCATCTGTATAATAATATGCTATTGTGTATTGCGCAAGTGTACATTGTACAATATTATTGCTCAAGTGTACATTGACAATGTCTTGTAAAATTTGTGTCCTCTTGGCATTGAGTTTCCAAAAATTTACAGATTACAGTGATATGTCATTTTTCATGTCATAGGTCTAGTTGGCTACCTAATTGCTTGCCAAGGCCCAAGTTGCCACTCCCATTCGATTCTCTGACTGATTTCAGTTAAGCCTACCTAGTACCTACTTAGCCTACTTCATTCCAAAATCCAAATTTCCACACAATGCAATGTAATTAAGCGTTTAATTACCCAACTTATATAAATATTGATTCAAGAATTAATTGCATTTTCTACATTTTTTCCACATTTATATGACTGAAAATTTTACATACAGAATTAGAATTGGTATGAAAGTGGTCAGACTCAGACAGGTCAGTGAATAATGGTTGATGTTGAATAATTGTTGATGATGAAATTTTATGCTTGATTAAGTAGATGAACTTTTCTCTTGCCAATTTGCAAAAGAAAATAGAATTAAATTAAGGTTCATGTATTAAAAAATCACAAATTGATTTAGAAAAATCATAATTGATTTTTCTTCACTTTCCAATCTGGAATACTATTGGATATTGGATAGATTTTTCTGAGAATTACAGGTAAAAATGATAGTAACATGGCATGAGTGATGACTGATGACTATTGAAAAAAATGGAGGAACGGGAACCTCTGTCCGGTAGTGATCCGGGCAGGGAGGGGGGAAAGGGAAGAGAGTGAGACTCCTGGCAAGTCCTCGGTCATGCTCTTCACCCCAGGACCCCAGGTACACACCAATCCCAATACCACCCATCTGCCACTATCTGCAATGGCATCATCCCCCTGGATAAAACCCCCAAAATCCCTGGTGTCACCTGGGATACACACTTCACTTTCTCCCCTCATGCAAGAGCCATTGCCACAAAAGCAATTAAGCAATGGTTCTCTCCGCATCTTAAAAGCTCTTGCTGGCATGGGGTACCAACTGGGGCTTCTCCAAGGAGGACATAATTGCCACCTATCAAGCCATCACTGGCCCAATCCTCAACTATGCGGCCTCCATCTGGTACCCTGTCGCCTTACGCACAGCAATTGCCAGTCTGCAAACAACACCAAACAGGCAAACACTGCTTTGAGATTAGCCACCGGCTGCCTCAAAATGGCCCCAATCTCCCATCTGCCCCAGGAGACCGGCGTCCTCCCTTTGTCCGCGCACCTGGACCTTGCTTATGCCCAGTTCCTTGCCAGCACCCTCCAGCCCTCCCATGCCTCATTTTGCGTGGTTTCTGCCCCTCTCAGGGACCGCCCTATGAAAACCTCCATACAGTCGAGGTTCGGCCATCTTGTCTCACCACTTTTGGCAAATGGTATCTTACCTGCCAGGGCATACGGAGAGGCCAAGCAGTCTCTCTGCATGGATATTGCCTCCCAACTGAAGCTATAAACGCCGTCCTCATTGCTCCTCCACCGCCAATTGCATCGGTGGAGGCCTCACTCCCACGCCCCTACCGCTTGGCGCTATCCTAGCTCCACTTGGGATACTGCAGCTCCCTTGCATCCTACTCCACTATGATCGGGTGCTCCCCCAGCACCACCTGCCCGGAGTGTGGGGATCCCCTTCAGTCAGTCCAGCACCTCTTTGTCTGCTCTGCCTTCCCCATGTCCCTCAGTGTCTCCTCATTGTGGGACAGCCCTGTGGAAGCAGTGGCATTCCTGGCCACCCTCCCTGCCTTTGCCCACCTCCCCCCTCTTCCAGTGCCTGCCCCCCACCCACCACCTGAGCCTCCCCCCCAACGAGCGTGAAAGACACAATAAAGAACAGCATGACTTCAAAACTCATGATTACTCCTCATGAGTGAATAGTGATTCTTAAAAATTGCAGGTAAAAAATGCCATTTTCCTCATCTTACACTATTGAAGTTAAAAAAAACTTATATGATTGTTTAAAATTGACAGCATTTATTGGATTTACAGAGCAGATGCTCCACTTTCCAGGGTGTAGAAATAAAGTCAATAAATAATTTAAGATCTTTGATGATGCACCAGCTGCAAAATTTATGTTTTCAGAAGATCTTGCCAACACATTCACCATGCAAATGTTGATGGATTACAATTGTACTTTCGATCAAAGTGGCCAAGTGGGTTGTGGGACAGTGGGTGTGGCAACTTTATGGCCATTGGCCCAGTTGAGATGATTGGCACAGATGGATTGCATTTTTGCAATATGCAGTATGATTGATTTGCTGATCTGCATTCTGCATGGAGCATTGATTTGGTCAGATGTACCTCTATTAAATTTGCTGTGAGTGACAGATGCATCATGCAAGTAATCATAACAAGCAGGGTTACTCCAATTTGGAATATCAGGCAAACATTTAACCCTTTACTGCCGGATTTTCTGGGTCAAAAAGTGCAAATTTTGATTTTCCTGTTTTTATGCTCATCTTTAAGTTGACATTCTGACCTATCCAATGGTACAAAAATCTTCTCTGTATGGTGATTTATGCATTCACGACAGATCGCAAAAGGGTTAGGGGTGGTGGAGTTATTTCACATTTAAGATAAGCAGAAATTACTGGCCAGGCACATAAATAGAATGTCTGAAGATGCTGCTCTTTAGTTACCCAGCTGCTCTCATGTGGGATGGTGCTCATGTAGTTGTTCCCACCATCCTTGACTGAATTTCAGCTCCAGTAACATCTAGTCTTGTATCCTTGCCACCTTGAATGCCCATTTTGAGGTGCTTGGGACTTTGTCACACTCTACTGAACATTCACACTTATTGTTGCTGCAAACCTATGAGGCTATCTCTTCCTAGAGTTTTTGAGCTATAGCAATGAGAAATATACCCTTCGATTTGCTATTAAAAGATCTAGAGATTGGTTGTAGCATTTTTCAATTTCATTATAGTTTTGAAAATATTTGAAAAAAGGAAATGGGAAATCAAAAAATTTTCAAAAAATTTATACACAAAATGACCCTCACCCACAAAAATTAGAATTTGGAAAATAACATGACCAATTGATAGACATGGTCTTTACACATCAAATGATATGTATCTCACTCAATGTTGTAGCTTGAAAATCCTAGGAGGATATAGATTTTTACAGTACCCTCTTTTTTACTGGTTTCTGAAAATTTCATGTTTTCTTTCTTTTTTTTTTAATTGACATGAAAAAAAAAGTGGTAGATTTTAATTTTACATATGTATACCAAGTTTCAAAGAGATCTTTTTGTAAATGAACAAAATAAAATTTCCACAAGAAATTAGTAATTTCCATAGGAAATTGGAAATCTTATTTTGGTTATTTACTGATGGATCACTTTGAAACTTGGTACAAATATGTAAAACCAAAATGTAAGACATTTTTGTTTGTGTCAATTTTTTGAAAAAAATTGAGAAAGATCATTTTTTTAAATTGCAGGTGAAAATAGGATGTTTGTCTTCCTATTTACTAATTAAATTGGAAAAAGGCCATAGGAACTGGTGAAATCAGTCAGATTCATGGGCATTTTTGTCTTATGCTCTTCTGGCTTCTGCCCTATTTACCACTTTGGTGATGGCCAAATAATGATAGGCGCTGGCAATGCAGTGATTCGTTCTGAATACTGCTTGCCACATTTTAGGCATAAAAAGCTTATCTTGGCACCACTTTCTTCAAGTTTGCACTCTGCATCCTGGCACTTGCTGTGCATGAAGAAAGAAGTCATTGAACAGGAAATCTACTTGTGCATCTGCTCAGTCAGCTGTTCGAAATCATTCCAAGCAGTGCGGTGTCCTAGTCTCTGAAAATAACTTCAGAATTTTAGTTTTCACAGCTGGTCTTTCTGACTTATAAATAAATTTTTAGAATCCTTTTGAAACCTTACTTTCTAACAGAAGCCTAGCTTAAATGCAACACTTAACTCTTATGCTCTTGAGATTGTAAACAAGTATGCCAGTCTTGCTGTGTTATTTTATGTTGATTTTTCTTTTACTTTTGCTTACAAAGGAGCTGGACTCTAAAACATTTTCCTTTATAAAGATAAGGATGTTTGGTTCATTTCTGTGCCATCTTTGATTTTAAATTCCTTGTTAATATTCAATTCCAGAAATTGAGTTATGTTAGAACCTGTCAAATGTATGGTGGGTTAAGGATATTATTTTGGCAATTATAAGTAGCATGAATGTAATGATGACCCAATTTTTTTTAATTCTATCTGATGGAAAACAGAATTCCTGATTCCTTTGTCTTATTTTTATAACCTTTTTAAGCTGACATAACTTTATATTTTAAGTCCTTCTAAGTCTCCTTTACTCCCTTCCACTGGTGAATTGGGATATGTCACACACCAGACTTCAAAGATCTGCATTAAATTTACTGAATACTGGTGAAATTTAATTTACTGAATTTTTTACCCATAATTTTACTGTAGTATTTTCAAACCTGATGGTAACCTTCAAACTAATCAAAATTTATTAGATAACAAAGACCTACTCTGTGAGTTTTAGACAAATTAGATTGTGAAAATCTTGATCCATTTATTCTTAATAACTATGCACAACTCTGAAACTTTCAGATTTTTATTTTTGGCTTAACAATCGGTGTAACAACTATAGATTTAAGATTTCTTTGACTTTATATAGAGTTAAAATCTGACTATGTAAGATTTTTGACACTCTCAATTTAGAATATATTTTATGCTTTTATCTTTCACAGTTACTGGCAGTCAGTATGTTAGTCTGACAATGCTAAAGCCACGGTATGCAGACCAGCTTTGTCTGGTTCTGCTTTCTGTTTCAATCAACATTTTAGATGTGGTTTGTCAAACCCCTGTTTCTGAGAACCCATATTTAGGAAGTGGTTCGAGTGAGTTGAGTCGTTATGATCCAGCTGCAGATCCTCGGAGCAGTAGTTATGATCCATCTCGCTCTGGAGCCAGAACATCTGGTGTTATGAGTCGCTCTCGAGCTGCAATCCTTGATCCGTGGAGAATGGCATCTCTGACTCCTGTAGCAGGCACTGTGCTCTCAGTTACAGACCCCATTCTTGACAGTTGTCCTTCTCACTGGGTGCTCAATGGAAAGTCTTGCTATAAGTTTGTGCGTTCTCCCAGGAAAAATAGAAATGCTGCAAGAACACAGTGCCAGGTAAGTGAAATAATAGTCAGAAAAATTATCCAGAAGCTTTATTTGCACAAAGTTGTAATATTCAATCATGTTCTTAAAAAGTTTTTAGTCAGCTATATATAATAATAACTTGTTCCAGGCATATGGAGCAGACCTGGTGAGTGTCAGCTCTAAAGAGGAGCATGGATGGCTGACCAGGCACTTGCATGAGACGGATCCTATGCAGCGTCGCTGGTATACTTCAGCCAAGCAGAACACTCCAAACTCTTTTGTTAATGAAGGTGATGCAAGTCCATTTACTGACATGATGGAGGCCCTTCTGCCCGACCAACTTGCAAGTCCTAATCTCAATTATCTTGCTTACACGTGAGTACTAACTGATGTAAACTATCAGCATATTAACATAGAAATATATCCTTCAATTTAGGGTGGATAAAGTTTGATTTGAGAGGCTTATAGTCTTTTAGGACTTAAGCCATTTAAAATATTGTCTTAGTTTATTATTTATTTTATCATGAAATACAATAGTATTTGTGTAAGATCACATTGTGCTAATGTACAATGGGTAATATATCTGTTGCACTGCATTCATTCGTGCTCATGGCATTGAAACATAAAATCTCACGTCCTCATTCATGTTCAGATATTCCAACTTGCACACTGAGTGGGGGCTGCTGAAGGTTGATGGAGAAGAGGAGCTGCAATACATCTGCGAGGTCCCTCTAAACATGGTAGGCTGGCTCCAAGAGACGCTCGTGGAGCGCACTTCTGAGTTTGGTGTCATTGTGATTGACCCTAAGAAAGTTCCTCACTCTCCTGTCTTCATAAAGCAGCCCAAGAGTGCCATGTTTGATCTTGTCAAAAGGGACCTCATCAACTATGTATCCATTACATGTCTTGGTAGGTATATACTTCTGCATGTGCAAACATTCATTTTGCACTAATAAATTTCCCCAAAAATTATTTGCTGGCTAAATTTAAATGTGAAATTCTTGGTTTACTTATAATTACCTATATCTTGAATTTTAGTACTGATTAGTTTTGCATTGTTAGTTCAATTGTGATTAGATATTATGTTATGTAAATTTCCAGCAACTATGAGTAATTATTATTACTGTTACCTTGTGCAGCCACGGGTTACCCTCACCCCACCTACAAGTGGTACAAGGAAGACTATGAAGATAACCTGCTTGTGTCGCGTGAAATTGATCCTCTAACGGACCGGCGCTTCACTGTGTCCGGCGGCACCCTTGTCATCAGCGAGCCTAACTCGGTTGGTGGAACTACGTTCTAGTTGCTTAAAATCTAACCTTCATATTGGCATACATGGAATATATATGTGCTCATCAGAAATGCCTCCTACCCTCCATTTCTAGTATTTTTTAGCCTATTCAATAACCATGCCTAACTTTGTGCCGCTTTTATTTTCTGCTGTTTGTGACCATTTATGCTGAATTTATTAAGCCTAAAAGTGAATATCCCACAGTCCAATATCATAATTTTCATTCAAAAGTTATCCATTTGAAATGAAATTAGAGTATTTGGTAAATTACTAAGTATAGTTTTCAGTTTGTCTCTGCTGAAATTGTGTGCAATATATATTTTTTTTAATATTGGGTCTTGTGTTGCTTTTATGTGTATTCAAAGTATAATTTATTAATAAAAGTGTATGTTCATGACCATTTTTATTTCAGATCAAAGATCGCGGCTATTACCACTGCCGCGCATTCAACAGCTTCGGCAGCATTACGTCTCAGAGCGTGCAGATTTCCTTTGCTTACGTCGCCGAGTTTAATCTGAAGCGATCGCCTGAACAGGGCAACCAGTTCTGGGGCAAGGCAATCTTCTGTGACCCGCCTCAGCATTACCCTGGTCAGACGCGCTCCATATTGACTTCATTTCTCAGTTTGGGAAGCATTCTCGTCGTAGTCTGATGAAGTGTCTCATTTATCATGGGATTCGGATTTTTCTATCATCTTTATCACTGTAATCTTTCTCCTGTTGCTATTTATCCTTCTATTCCAAAGTACTGCTGTGTGTAATTCTTTGGTGAAAGGTATTTGAGTGTGGTTAAAGCTACAAGGTACGTTGTTCTTCGCAGACGTTCTGTACTATTGGGCGCGCAACTACTTCCCCAACCTGGTGGAGGAGGACTCGCGCACCATGGTCTCATATGACGGCAACTTGTACTTCTCTTATCTGGACTTCATAGACCGCGGCCGCTACAGCTGTAACGTCAAGAGCACCGTTTCGGGCGTGGGCAAAAATGGCCCACTCTTCACTCTTGAGGTCTTGCCTCATCGTAAGTTACTTCATTCACATTTTTTTCATATTTCATACGAGGTAATCTAGACTCAGTAAAATACAGTGGTAACTGTAAATATGAGTTTTCAGTTGTTATCAATAAAAAGATTTTCGTGAGTTTACTCCTGCATGTTGTTCTGGATTTGAAATACCAATTAGCAATACTACATATCTGAAAAGGAACCCAAACTTTCGCGCTAATACCTGGTCGCCATTTTTGCAGCTAACTACCAGCAGCTGAAGTTTGCCAACAACTTCCCCAAAGCTTTCCCCGAGTCCCCCATCCGCGGCCAGGACGTTCGGCTCGAGTGCATTGCTTTTGGATAGTGAGTCATTGGCAGCAAGTGTGCCAAATATATACCCACCGTGCTTTGTATCAATTTTTAGAGCTGCGAATTGAGTTTTAGATTTAGCCGCAACAGAATTGAGCCTCAGTATTTTAAATTTGATCAAAATTTGTGACTTTGAAGCCGCCAGATTTTATTAAACGATTTGAATTATCCACGGCTAAAGTTTGCTGTAGGAATTCTAGAATTGTAGTAACTCTTATTGATTGGAGTGAGGTTAACTCTCTATTTTCCAGTATTTGTGGATAGTTACTATAAAGTTTGGAAGGTGTTAGTGAAAGCATTATATTACTATGCATTTCGAAAAGTAGCATCCTACGTTATCAGTTAATTGTTCAATCTCTGTAGAAAATCAAAGGCATATTGCTGGTTTATCTTATTATGTAACATTCAATGAAAATTGTCATGTACCTAAATTATTAATTTTCATGGTTCAGATTCGGTCGTAAGTTCATGTTACGTGAAACTTTCTTGTACACATTCTTCTTGTAACATGGATGTCATACCTCGCTCTGAACGTATGAAGCTTACATCAAGCTTTCTTTTACTCATTATTCTTGTCAAATTAGTTTTTTACTTAATGAGATTGTTTGTGTCCACCAGCCCGGTACCTTCATATAAATGGTTCCGACGCAACGGCAACCTGCCTCGCGGGGCCCAACTCACCAACTACGACCGCGTTCTGACGCTGCCGTCCGTCGAGCCTGGCGACGTGGGCGAGTATGTGTGTCAGGCCACCAACGAGAAGCTCTCCATTGAGGACAGCATTAACCTCTCCATCCAAGGTGAAGATCTCGCTTGCCATCTCCTGTAATTTGCATTCCTACTTTTATTTGTGTTATCCTGCTATGTGTGACCAGGGATGTGTCTTGTTGAATAACTATCAAAATCTGTTTGGCTATTTGCGACCAGGAATCTTGCTGAATAATCATCAAAAAGTACCTTGCCCAGCATTAAAATGTTTGTTATGCATGTTTTGGAGAAATTAGTCTGCAATTGAAATTTTCTCTCATCATTAGATATGTTATCATCAAGAGTGGACTGCTTCAGTTATCCCATAACTTGTTTCTAACTCCTCAGCCAAGCCGAGCTTCACGATCCCACTACATGACCAGTTCATGGCTGAGGGCGAGGACCTGCTGTGGGAGTGTGAGGCGTTTGGTATTCCTGACGTAGAGTACGAGTGGCTACGTAACTCTGAGCCCCTCAATATCGAGACAATGTCGCCTCAAGACGCTGAGAGATACACCATTACGGTTTGTTGAAATTCCCACTGTTCTGTATTTTATTTATGGGTTGAGAAGGCTCCAGTCCGAGGGCATAATTTATTTTAATTGTAGAAATAATTCTCTAAATGCTATCCTGATGTCACCTTTCAATTTAAGAAATAAGTAACTGAATCAAAGTGCCATTCACTTCTTCAGTTAGCCCTTCGAACAAAATACCTATTGACTCAGAGAATAAAAGTTTATGGTATTCAGTAGTAACTTACAATTATTTTAAGTTTGAATGGCTCGGTTTCAATATTCCAGTAGCCAAACATCTAACCTTTGTAATTTAATCTTTATAAAATAAGAAATTATTTTCTCGTTTCTTGTGATAAAAACGTTCTCGTGTGGAGTGATTTAACTCATTTAATATAATCGCCAGAAATGCTGCCTCTGTCCATATTTTTCAGCATATTTCTGTCCATCATCCAGTGTTATCTGTACTCATGAATCGTGAAACTCGACGTAAAAAACAATAGAATTATTCGTTATTGAGTTTGTTGCGTTGTTCCTGTGTGTGCAGACGAGTGTACTGCAGATCATGAAGGTGCAGGCGAGTGACGAGGCGTCCTACCAGTGCAAGGCCACAAACCAGCTCGGCTCGTCCTATTCCGCTGCACAGCTCCGTGTCTTCAGTTAGTATCTACCACCTTCTGATAATACATTAAACATCGCCTCTTATTATATTAAGTTACATCTTTTTCTTCATTTACCACCATTTTACAATGTATTCAAAAACCACTTCTTGTTGTATTTATTAGTATCAAGTGTTTTTGTATCACTTCCATGTGATATTGTATGTACCGTTATCTTATATTGTGTTCACTGCCGTTTGTTATATTCACACTATAAATTTTGGCGAATAAGCTTACTAAACTTTTGTTTTCCTTTTTTATCCATCATAAAAGTCTAGAAATTAATATCAATTATTTCTTTTTGGCAGAGTTGGCCCCAACATTCAGAAAGCAGCCAGTGGAGACAGAGAAGTATGCGGCTGAAGGCATGAACACGACTCTGGAATGCAACCCTGAGGCTGCACCGCTGCCTGAGTTTGTGTGGCGCAAAAATGGAATCAGGATTGGATCAGGTGATCATCTCTTATTGAATCACTTGCAGAACTTAATATTTATCAAATAGTATGCTGGCGAACAAACTGACTGCCCAAGCTGGCGAATCTTGGCGACTACCGTGTACCTCATTGCTTTATCTGGTGTAAATCTTTTGAAAATTTAAACAATTTTGCTTCTCCGAGCATTGAAACATTTTTTGGCATGTCATCATTTCAAGAGTTTTGAAACAAATCTCAATTTTCTACTATCAATTTGAAGCATTCCTAGTTCTTCTCAAGAAGCTGTAACGTTAGTATAAATTTTGATTCAGACTTTGTCCTGGATATAGTTTTAGTGTGCCTCATTTATTCTATTACAAATTTTTCCAGCGGGCCGCACTGAAATTCTTCGGTCGGGGATGCTGGTGATCACGTCCGTGACTCGCGAGGACGCCGGCAACTACACGTGCACGGCCACCAACGCTTACGGCTCTGCATCCTCTTCTGGGCGCCTTATTGTCCTCAGTCTGTGTCATGATAGGGTGAACCTTTTGTAAATACTTCTTTCCTGTGGTGCTTTATTGTCCTCAATGCCACGCAATGATATACATTTTTTTTAAATGTTGGATTCTCATTAAGTTGCAAAACTGCGATAAGTTTCCACTGGAGTCGTCACTAAGTTGTGCATTATACGACTTGATTATTGCATTTATTTAATCGTTATGTAGTTAACCGAGCTTTATATTTTTATTAATGCTGTTATTTCTGTATTCAATAATTGTGGTCATTATGTTACAGTACGTCCCGAGTTTTACCGCGCTCCTCCTGAAACAATCCTAACGTCTGTTCGAGAGAACGTGACTCTGGAGTGTGAAGCGTACACGGACCCTCTGCTGGACATGGCTTACTACTGGCGCCAGAACGGCCTTAGAATCCATACCGACGACGACACCTACCTGCGCAACCTGGCTTACATGCAGGTCAATATTGTTGCTAACCTGGCTTACATGCAGGTCACTGTTGTTGCTAACTTGGTTTACATGCAGGTCACTGTTGTTGCTAACCTGGTTTACATGCAGGTCACTAGCAGCTTTGTAGTGTTAACTTGGCCTTTGTGATCCCACTACCTGCAGTTGATTCAATGCGCTCTTTATTTATTCGGTGCTGCTTGATGCTTAACATATTTATGACGAGACTGCTAAAGCGTTTCTTGCATCATTGACAAAATGAACCATTTTGATACTTACCTAATGGTTTGTTCATAAAAATATAAAAACTTGAGGAAAGATACCACGAGTATTTTTGTCTTTATTTTTTTCTTTGTGTTTTAGTTTTTGTTGGTTAAATTGTATTTTTTTGCCATGCACTATTCGTTAAGACATTAATTTTCAACCTCTATTTCTGCAGGGATACGATTTTGATTACTACATCAAGAAACGATCCAAAACGGTGAGATGCAGAGAATGAATTTATATTTAGGCATCCCTGTATGAGTCTATGCTGGCATGTTTGCTATTATCATAGAAATACTTGCCAGATTTATAGGAAATGTTGAGTGCTACGGGATTTGAATAATTTCATATCTGTGTTGACTTTTGTTCGTGAAAGTAGAGTGTTCTTTCTCTTGCAATATTGTTAACTAATTTATTTGGTGATGTGGCTATGCTATTTTTCAACTAAACTTCAATTTTAACAATCGTAAGAGGCAGAACTGTACTATGCACTTGAGAACTGAGTTACAACACGAATTGCAGGCCGATCCCAGTCTGTACCGTGTGTCGACGACGCGTCGAGTGAGCAACTTGCTCGACTTTGTCAACTTGAGACAACCGCCATTCGAAAAGGTTTGTATTTCTTTTCCTTACCAATTCGAAACTATTTTCTCAATTGAAAAAAATTTACATTTTTTGGCCATTCACATTGTCGTATAAGATATATAGTGGATCTTTTTGAATTAATTTTCAATATATAAAAAATTTTTTATTACTTTATTTCTCTGATAGTTCCTGTTAAGTCCTCATCCTTTACTTCAAAGCACTCCCGCAAATTCCTGTCATGATTTCGTGCAGTACCACTCAGCACTGTACATTTTCTTGTAATATGATGAAGCATTGATATCATGCTGCCTCAGGGCTACCGACCCGGCTACCTGCGCATACCGAACGTGACGCTGTCTGATGCTGGAGTGTACGAGTGCGTGGCCAAGACACCCGTGGCTACCATCGCTGTAGAGACCATCATCACCGTACACGGTCCGCCTGGACCTCCTGGTTAGTACCAAGTACTTTAGTACTCTACTCTTTCAAATTTACTTCCACAAAATTTTGAAACCCGATTTCACTTTGAGAACATTGCCTTTTTTTAGAAAGTTCTTTAGCAAATACAGTTTACAAACAGGCCTGATTTTTGGATACCAATTTCAGTGTTGCTTGATTTTTTCCATTGCTTTCTTAAAGTAACTTTTTCCTTTGTAAAAGGTGGCGTGACGGCAGTGGATGTGACGAGTACGACAGCGCGAATACGCTGGACGGACGGAGCAAGTAACGGCCGCCCCATCCTGATGTACAGCATACAGGGCCGCACGCAGTGGACGCAACAATGGGTCACGGTTGCCCACAACGTCACAGCTGAGGTGCGTCCTGAGGGATTGGTTAGCTGTCTGGTATGTGATACTATATAAGTTCTGTTGAGCTGCCACATGTGTTGCGTTCAAATAAACTTGTATGTAATGAGTTCTGATGAGCTGCTACATGTGTTGGGTTCAAATCATCGCCTTGTATGAGGTTACTTTTGCTAAGCCGCCACATTTCAGAAATAAGCCCAAACATACAAATCAATTGTTGACCTACTGATTGATTAAATAAGCTTTGCGTACCTTTGTTTAGTTCATTGGCTATTTGTATCACGCAAATTCCTTTTGATATTAGTTTTAGTTTATTATCATTTCTTGCAAATTCAACATGTCAATGGTAATCCTGAGTACAGCTCTCAAAAATTCACATGCAGGCCTTGCTATGGGTGACAGTAACCTTATGTTGCAGATCGTAGACAGGCGCAACAACCGCCGTGAGCATCTGCTCGATTCCGTGCTGTCGCCGTGGGCCATCTACACATTCAGAGTGAAGGCCTACAATGAACTCGGCTATGGGGAATACTCGGCTCTGTCTCCACAGGTGAGCATGCAAAAGTGAAATAATTTTAGGCTTTAGTATTGGCTCTCTGTTGGCAGTCATGACTGAAGTTGCAGAGACGTTATCTACATCCACAGTTTCCTGGACCAAACGCATTTTCATTTATAGGTTTTGTGTCACTTGTATACAGAAATAATGCAAATAATTTATAGTTCAGTTGAATATGTTATACATCTTTCTGTTCTTGTTGATTCTGTTATTCTATTTGTGTATTGAAATTGTTTGAAACGCTTTGTGATTATTTTATTTAGGTAAATACAAGGACCGACATTCCCTTCACTGTGCCGAGGAACATTGGCGGCGGAGGAGGGAAAACTGGTGACCTGACCATCACTTGGGAGGTTAGCAATCGGTTCAGACATCGCTTTAGTACTGGAATATGGCTGTTATTGTGGTGTTTTATTGCTTATTTTTTCAACAAGTTAATCCTAATAGTCTGTTTAGAGTGGTAATGGAGATCATTACACTAGTCTTAGTTTATGTTTTCGATTCATATTGTTGGACTAGAGGTCTGTTATTGACATAAAATTGCATGTGGTATTGTCATTGTTATTCCAATAGCCAATTCAGTTGAAGTGATCAGCCCACTCTAACAATATTAATGGTTATGCATACAAAGTCATGCGCAGCCCTTTGATGTATTCAACAATTGACACGTCAGTATCATTTAATTTTGGCACTGCAATGTTTCCACCACAGCCCATGCATGGAGAGCATCAGAACGCTCCTAACATTCGGTATCGCGTCTTCTGGCGTCGGGTCGGCAGGGACCCTGAACTGCAGTTTAAGAAGCAAGATCTTCCTGAACGCCACAACCGCGGCATGTTTGTTGTATCAGTTGATCCTGTCAAATACTTCTACACGGAGTATGAAGTCAAGATTCAAGTGAGTTAGAATTTGAATTGTAAGCTATATAAGAACACTTGATTTGATTCATGCCTAATAATTTATTTCTTATTTATAGTCAAGATTTCGAAATGTACCGTGACTCCTCAGTTTCTTTTATCGAATCAAAAGTCATTGAATTTTTGTTCAGGCATTCAACAGAGAGGGTGCGGGGCCCATAAGCGAGCCCGTGGTGATATTCTCTGCAGAAGACATGCCCCAGGCGCAGCCTACGGAGGTGGCGGCCTACGCTCACAACGCCACAGCCATCAACGTCACTTGGGTGCCCATAGAACCTACGCGCGACAACATCCGCGGCAAGCTCATAGGATACAGGGTGAGAGTGATGACATCCGCGGCAAGCTCATAGGATACAGGGTGAGAGTGATGACATCCGCGGCACGCTAATAGGATACAGGGTGAGAGTGATGACATCCGCGGCAAGCTAATAGGATACACGGTGAGTGTGATGACATCCGCGGCAACTCGTTAAATTCTTGGCAAGAAAAATCTTATTGACCTGGAATTTGATTAAATTACCCGTATTTTATGTTCAGTTGAGGGATATGGTTAATTCTGAAAAACCATTGTGCATGCCTGCCATCTTACTTCGCGTGATGTGTGAATTGATTGTATAAAAGATTTTTCAACAAACAATCTCATTTAACATTCCTTGTATCCGCTATGAAGAAGTGTTTTCTTATCGACCCCACAATTATACGAGATTCTTTGCACTAATTCATTAATGATGATCTGAGAAATATGAAATATCCTGTGGCGTAAATTCATATTTTTTATGTACCTCTTCGATGCAGATCAAATACTGGCGCAGGAGTGACGACGAGAGCGACAACATCATCCGTCTTAACCTGGGTGCTGAGAACTCTGCCACGATCGTGGGTCTCATTCCCAACAATTTTTACTGGGTGCGCGTCATGGCCTACAATAGCGCCGGAGCAGGGCCCGAGAGCGAGAGGTTCTTAGGTCAGTATCATGGTTTTTTGCATTCAGTCACACTTTATTGTATTAAAGTACATTTTCGCAATATAGTGTAGTTCCTCATTTTAGCTCATTCTTCCTAGTTTATGTTTTGATCTTATTTCGCAGAACGAACCTGGCGCTTCCCGCCTCTGACTCCACCGAACGCCGTGGAAGTGTTCCCTGTGAACCCCAGCACCATCAGAGTGACCTGGCGCGGCATCACGCCATCGACTTCAGAGGAACCTCTCACTGGCTATAAGGTCGGAAATATCTATTAATACCATAGCTCCTGAGATAAACCAGTAAAATGCTATTATAATTTATCGCTACCATTATTTTTTTTGTCGAACAAGTCTGAAGTGGTTTCATGATGAAATTTTTACACCTCTATATATGATTTGATTGCTATCCACCTATTCGTTATCACTCATATACTTGATATCATTCTATTTCAGGTCAAAGTGTGGGAAAGCGACCAGGACTTCACAAAAGCAAACGAGACGTTCTTGCCCATCGGCAACGAGCTCCAGGTTTACATCAGCGACCTGACGCCTGGCAAGACCTACAAGCTCAGGGTGATGGGCTTCAGTCGCGGTGGCGAGGGAAAGATGAGTTCTCCGCCCTGGGAGTTCCAGATGGGTGCGTTACTTCTCTTGTTTCCTTTGTTTGGCACGGAATTCTTCCTATCAGATGGTTTGTACATGAAGAACAACAACAACAAGAAAGTGATAAGATGTCCATTTATATTTTTATTGTTTAAATTAATGCTACCTCTCGGAATTTCGTTCATAAATATTGTTCACAATTGCCGGATGAAGCACTAAATTCAATCTAACAAGCAATTTTAATTTTAACACTCAAAATATGTGGTGCTAGGTTGACTATGCTTAATAACTCTTATTTTAGATCTCGTTAGATTATATTCCTTTTCATAATTTTGTAAAGAATGAATGCAATGAATTTCTTGCTATGATGTTTGAGTTTTCATTGCCGCAAGGATAATCAGCTATCCTTATTATCATCATTCATATGTGAGCAGATACAACCAAAAAGTGAGCATTGAGCAGATACAATTGCTAACCTTTTACATTTTTTTACAGAGTCTTTTATATTTTTGACTAGAATAATCTTCTCACCAAAAACATATTTGTTTATGTAGACGGTGATTTGGTGCGTATTTACATGTTTGGCACCTACCTTAATAATCAGCTTTAAAAATAAGAAATCATGTTTATACTTACGTATAGGTCTATTTTTATGTTCTCACATATTTGTTTATGTGAATTCAGGAGATCCAGAGCTCCTGAGGGGCCGTTCAGGGCGGACAACCGGCAACGCAAGCGTCATGCTGACCGCTGCTCTGACACTCATCCTGTCAGCGCTGCTGCGACGCCAAGACAACTAACACAGCCTCCTCATCAAAGTGAACGCATCTATGCATTTAATGAACACATTCCGCAGCATTCACTCATCGTCCATCCATTCTATTTGCGTTATGTTCAACTTGGACTGGAATATTTGTTTGGATATTATTCATACCAAGTGACTGTTGACTAATTCACCCACGTTGGCAGTCCCTTCGTCATGCCCTGAATTATCTTGACTTAGATAGGAAATATGTGATCAGGTTCATGCTAAACTAGCAGGTTTGAGTATTTCTCAGTCCAAATTTAACATTAGGTTTCATGCAGGCATTTTTAAATGCACCAACAATGTGCCTTTGACTGGTCCCTGTCAACTAAATGCGGATCTTATTTTCGATTCTCATACCTGAACAAATTTTAAGAATTTCCAGAGATTATTTATGTTGTTTTTTAAGATAACTTTGCTCTTTTATCTTGTGTAAAAAAATTTGTTTCGTTTCTATGCAATTCCATCCACTTCTTTTCAGAATTATCTTCTTGAAGTTTTATTTGCTGTTCACAGTGAACGCTTCATTAATCCGAATATTTTAAATATTGTTGAAATTCATTTATTTTACAGAGGCAAGGATTTTCCATCTTTAACCCGTTGCCACTTCGGGTTCACGTGCAATTCGAATTTTTGAAAGTCGTTCATTTGTTACCTTCTCTTCCATTAATTATGAAATAATTGCTCGTAATCTCTAACTATTTACTCCCGAGTCCGTGGGTTGCATGTGGAATTCAGAGTGTCAAGACTGACGAGGAGTGTTGCAAATTTGCATGCATTATGCACCATCTTCGCGGGTAGTTACTACGTTCGATCCTGCTGCGAAGGGGCGTTGTGAAACACATCGCGCTTCTCTTTTATTAACTCAATGCAAAATGGCATTAAATTTTTTGTCTTGGTGCACGTGAGTTCTTGTAATCCAAGTCGCAAAACTGAATACAAACGACGTGCTAATAATGAATGTTATCTTAATATATTTAAGTGAGGATACTTAACTTTAGTGATGCGAAACATACAGATAAATAGTTTTTATTAATTAGCACGAGGTTGACTTGTTCTGGTACATCGAAAAAACTTTAAATGATATGCCACTAACATTAAGCAAATTGAATTGTGGAAGCTATGCAGAAAATGACTAATTGTGAAGATCAAGCAAAGATATTGAAGTATTCGTCATTTGAATCTCATGTTCACAAATGTAACTCTGTAATGTTTGATATTAGTTAACTTGAGCTTGAACATTTTACCATAAAGACGTATCTGGTAAGCGAGGTTTAAAGGACGTTGGCGGACATTGTTTAGACCTCTAATCCGTCCTCCATCCTAGTTCCATTTGTGGAGTTCATTCGTCCATAAATACAATCAAATTTGTACGTGCGTCTCTTCCGAGTTTGTGCACAAGTTCTTAGTATTAAATATCGGAGAGCGAGATCTGTTCCGTGCTGAAATGTGTATTTTCTACTGTAGAGATCTGTAGCAGCATGCATCGTACGTTATGATCTAATTTTTAAGATGAACCTTATGTATCTCTGTTAATGGTGTAGCGTTCAACGAATCCGTCCTGAAAGATCTTCCAATAATCTTTAAGGTATTTAGTTAAGGTCGAGTAAGAGCGTAAGAACATGGTTACCTTGCAATAAAGTAGGCTAGACCGACGGCTAGAGTGCAAATCGATGAAATCTATTGAACAGTTTATGTCAAAATTTGTGGATAATTTTCAATGATAATTTTTTCTTCAGAATAATTGTGTAATTACAAGGATTTGAGTGCATAGCAATATCTATTGAATTAAATGCAACTTTGGGTACGATTTTTTCTTATCCCAATAGTCATCAGTTTTAGTAGCTATATTCATTATGAAGCTCGTATTTTTCCAGCTTCTAATTAGACTTTATCAAGTTGGGAATGAATAAAACCGCTTCTTCGCAATGACGATATTGATCCCATTGTTATTAAGTCCATTAACTTCTATTATTCAATGTTATTAAGTTTAATGTTGCAAGCGATTACACGACACAGACACACATAATGCTTGAAAGCTAATCAAACTCGGTCTAATTAATCAGCCGTATCATGACCACAATCGCATATCTAATAGCCTCCCCACCAATCATAAGTAATAGCCTTAAATAATGATCACAGACGTACAAGTGCCAGGTGAGAACTGTTCCCACTAGCCGGGGACGCGGGGATGAAGACCCTCTGTGCCACCCACTAGCCAGGGATGAGGACCCTCCGTGCCACCCACTAGCCGGGGATGAGGACCCTCCGTGCCACCCACTTGCAGGGGAAGCCCTCGACTGAAGGCACTGCTGTCAGCTCCACTTTTGTCGCTGCAACAACGGCACCACAAACACTTAGCATTTAAAAAAAATTAAATTAAATAAATATTCAACTAGTAAATGAATAATTCGTGATATTTCGGGCTCCAATAACGAAATTAATTATTTTATCTCGATAGACTGTCTTAATATTTAATTGCGATGATTCAAAAACAACTTCACGAGATATTTTAGTACCTGGCACAGGCGGCTAAAATATGAATGGGATTAAAAGGAGAAATATGCACGGAAGCAAACAAGTTTTGATACACGAGGACATATATCCATACGACCTCCATTGAACTTCAAGCGTACTGTACTCTTGAGGGCAACCTTTACGACGCGAGTACAGGGTGAGACCTAATGCACCTACGTATCTTTAGAACAGGAGCTATGAGACTCAACGTCAGGCCAGGACCTATGGGCCTACCACTGAGACAGGACCTATGTTAGCTACCATTAGGGCAAGAGACGTAACGCAAAGAGGTTACCTCCTATGACACCTACATTGTGGACAGGATTCCTGGAGGTTGTACTTGGCTAAAGGAATGTCGTCGAGGAAGGCGACGGAGCGGTGGAAGAAGACGGTCTCCCAGCGGTTGGGGGCGAGTAACCACAGCGCCACCCCCGCCTCCTCGCTCAGCAGCGTCATGACCGCACCCGACCCGCTGCGTTCACTGGCGTGACTCTCAAAATCCTTTCAAAAAATTAGCCTCTGTTAATAAATCATCCTCAACATGGGAGTTATTCTCAAAATCCTTTAAAAAAATTAGCCTCTATTAATAAATCATCCTCAACATAGGAGTTATTCTCAAAATCCTTCAAAAAATTAGCCTCTGTTAATAAATCATCCTCAACATGGGAGTTATTCTCAAAATCCTTTAAAAAATTAGCCTCTGTTAATAAATCATCCTCAACATGGGAGTTATTCTCAAAATCCTTTCAAAAAATTAGCCTCTGTTAATAAATCATCCTCAACATGGGAGTTATTCTCAAAATCCTTTAAAAAAATTAGCCTCTGTTAATAAATCATCCTCAACATGGGAGTTATTCTCAAAATCCTTTCAAAAATTTAGCCTCTGTTAATAAATCATCCCAACATGAGTTATTCTCAAAATTAAGATAAACTTTTAAAATATAATTGGGCGCCACGTCATCCAACCGTTCACTGCCTTAGTTCTCGAAATGCCTCTAAAAATTAACCTCTGTTAATAAATCATCATCAATACTGGAGTTATTCGCAAAATTAAAATAAATGTTTAGTACATAATCGGGCGCCAAGTCATCAAATAAGAGAATAAGAGAATTAAATCCTGATAAAAATAGGTAGCATGATAACCTGTCCGAACACTTCACCTCTATACACCCTTTCACGTGTTACACTCATAGCCTACTTTTTTCTAGGCAGGGCAAGACATACTTAGTTAATCTCGCTCATACATGTATTAGGATCATGAAGCTTGCTCAATTCTTTTAGGATCACTAAATAGCGATTCATACTTTAGAGTGGGTTAATTTGTGTGATGCGTGGCGCCATAAATACGTACATACTGTAGAAGGTTGTTCATGCGCGTATCCACGATACCTATCGTATTGTGATATTGCCAAGACAATCGCAAAATTCGCCACTTTCATTAACTTAAATCCAGTCCTTCTGCAGCGCAGCTTCTATTTACGACCAGAAAATAAACTGAATAGTGTTCAACGAATGCTTATTCGAAACGTTGTTATAATACAATACAACTTACATATAATTAATTTTTAAACCTCAAATAATTATCTAATTTCGAAAAAGGTAAAAAAAACTGATTCTAGAGGTTAATCTCTGGTCTTCAGGGATTAGAAGCAATAGACATAAAGAATGCCCATTAATTCAACATCACGAAATATTCAACGTCACAATTCAAGCAGCTCATCAGTTTAAATGTTATAAAAACTATGAATAATGACATTTTTGGACACTTGTTTATGAAATATATATCCTGAGCATGTGCGTATTTAGGAGCTGTTATAATTACCATCGAAATCATTTATCAATAAAAGAGACAAAGAAAATAACTCACTTGATACAACCTCCTATGCTCAGCATTTACGGCAGACTCAGAGACAGGGACGCCATCGTCGTCAATGGCGTCGGCGTCGTCGTGCAACGCAGCATTATGCATGCTTGGTAGCAAGCCGGGCAGCGTGGCTAATAAATACAGCGATACAGTTAAACTGAGACCCAAAAATCATCGATACACTTAAACTCAGAGCCATATATGACAAGATGTTGCCTCTAGTTAAGCTCTAGAACACTACTGTGCGCTAACAGCTTCTAGTGGATGATTGTTCCTAAGTCAGAACTAGGAAGGAAAGAGTAAAACTAGAGGTCGTTACTTCAATTTGTCCAGTTTTGGCACCGAAAGTTTGTCTACCGAGTATCTAATTAGTAAAAGGCTTCCTACAGTCAGCACCGACTGATTGACTGTTCAATTAGCTTCAACTTAGCAAGAAATTAAAAACATAACCTTACTCACAAGTCGGTTTCTTCCCCTTCCACACGAGCTTTGCCATCCACGAGCAATGCTTGTTGTCCTGCGTGGGTTTGCAGCGAACGGCGTCGAACTGAACCATGTCGTCCAAATTGAGGAACTCGGTGAGCGCTTTCGTCGTTATTTTTCGGCCAAAGTTGTAATACTTCGACCTCAAAAAGAGAACCGACTCCACCTGTGACGAGAGCTTTGAGGTTAGTAACATAATAAGGAAAGTACCGCCTCCTTTTGTAGCGTGTACTTATGGGATAGTCGCATAATTCGTATCAGTTATAGTAAGAAATTTGGTGATGCATAAAGAATTCAATTTCAACCCTCCACTTCCTGGTGTGAAGAGTTCGTGACATAATGTTAGATTATATATGTTTATACCGAGAGTAGTTACGTGAGTGGAGCCTGTGAGCCATCTTTTTCGATCGTTCAGATTCATTGGGCGCGCTTCTGTCGCCCGTACGACACCACGAACGATCGAGATTAAACGTAGTCGGCATGTTAGAAATTTTTGAAAAATCGCTCAAGTCGGTCAAGTTAACTGGCGTTTTCATGATCATGCAAGTAAACCAATTAGAATGACAAATATAAATTACTAGAAAAAACTGAGAACTTTCAAGCCACGCGAATAATAACACTGCACTGGATTGGGTAGAAACAGCCGAGTGCGACTTTCATGCTGAAGCTGGTATTAAATAGAAGGTTTAGATACCAAAGCCTGAAACTAAATGGAATTTTCTGATATAATATATGCCATAATTGAAATTTAAACAAGTACGTTTCCAGCGCTTCAGAAAATCTTGATCTATTTCGCGCCGAAGGTCAAACTCTCATTTATACAGCGTCGTCTCTCTCGAGTGTTACAGACTTGTAATTTCGTCCACTCGGACAATAATGGAGGTTGTGGTCAGTTCTGTGTACAACCTGAATTATCGTCCGAGTGGACGAAATTACAACAAACAAAACAAACTTTCTCACAATTTCCCGTTACATGTGTATGTTATAGAACACCTTGTCAAAGAACATGAACTCCAGCACGCCTTTGCCAGGTTCGAGCAGCTCGACGCGGCCCTGTTGGTTGGCGATGGTGAGCGGCTCGTCCGTGTCGAGGCTGCGCCACGCACGCGCCGCGAAATACTCGCATGCGTCAGGGTTTGGATCCTGGAAATAGAAATACATCGAACTTGTTCATTGAATTAATTTTTCAATATCGTAACATTTCTATTTTCATTAACTTGATCATCAACTTGAGTTCTGTCTCGATTCAAATTAAATTCTAACTTTCATCCGCTAAAGGCCATCCGCGTTCTGACGCACGTCAGAAAAAATATAACTCAGTACTCACTGCAGTGAGTGACAGAGAGCGCATTTTCTCATCGACGAAAACTTGAGATAACGGACGGACGGAACGACAGACAGACAGACGGACATGGCGAGCACAATAGGGCATTTTCTCGATAAATGAGAAAATGCGCTAAAAAGGCAATGAAACTGGTTAAAAAATATGAATGGATAAATAGCCGACATAATAATAATGGCTGAAGATTTGAATATAATTGCATCACATTGTTGAGATTTTAGGTGCTAAGAAACATTAAAATTTATCAGATAACAAGGCCAGTAGCGTGCGAAAGCGAAAAGTTGCCGTACTTTTAAACAATTATAAATAAAACTGCAAACCTTATCGTAAGGGTGACAGTGGAATGTGACGCGGTCGCCTACGTTCAGGATTCCATTGAAAGAAGCGTAGCTGTCCAGGAATTCGTTCTGCAATAACCAATGACCACAATGACAAGTATATCAATCCACTGATACAGTGAGTTCTGGAACCGTGGTGTAAATGAGCACAATTCGTTTTCACTAGTGTACTTGCACTACAAATTGATGGGCATAAGAACAGATTTAAATAGCTCATTAGGGTTAGCCAATGTTAATGAAATTGTAATCCATTTGTAGGACAAGCAACGCATGTGCTCGAAGTGTCGCTATGTTTTGGAGTACATGACTAGAAATGGTATTTACCATGCCAAATTAAAGTCTTTTCGAGAACATTATCGGAACATTACATCGAAAATTATGTTCCTCATTCACCCTGAAATTTGTTCTAGTAATCTAGAAGTTGAATGATAATGTGCACTAATTCCAGGTAGAATATATTATTTCTTTAATCAAAAGCGCTGGATAGAGCATCTTACCTCGTGGAAGAAGTTCTTACACCAAAGGATTGTCCTCCAAATGTTCCCGCCGAGCTCAAACTTGAGAACAGCCTTGCTGAGTCCCGCGATCTCGAGCACCTCCCCAGACACGTAGTATAGATACCGCTCAGCCATTCCCAGGCGCGGCAAAACTAAAGTCGGCTAACAAATATTACGCAGGTAAAGACGATTATGAACGTTAAATTAAAATCTAGCTTCGCCAGTTACGTCACACAGGTAGTGTGTGCTAAGCTAACAAAATATTAAGGAGTTAAAGAGAGTTTGAGAAGAGAGTTTGATCATAAGCGGCAGCGGAATATTCATCTAAGTTCAAATGTATCGCTAGTTTCACGCGACTGTGAATACCAACCTAAGATACGGAAAATACAAATTAATTTAATTCGTCCATAAAAACGTAATATGTAGCGAAAAGTTTAAGCTTAAGCGTATTGATTGATACTAGCGTAATGGCGACAAGGTTTACTAGTGTGTCAGCAATGAAACGATTTAGCACTGAAACTAACAGAACAAATATCGCCAGAAAGATGGAAGGTCTGGACAATAATAAATTTATTATATAAACTGTCATTTATCAACCTACAGAGGCGGAAGCTATCAAATGCTTGCCGCAAAAAAAAAAAAAAACACGAAAGAAGCAGTGATTGCATATCACAAAGGGGAAGAATGATGAAAGAACAGATGGAAAGGAACAAAAACGGAGGCCCTCGTACAGGAGGCGCTTATGCGAGACGTCGGTTGCCTGCACGTGAAGCGGTGAAGCACAGTGCAATGAACCCTATCTTTGTAATGACTAAACCCCACATTTGAACTGGCTAAGTCGTTGCCACTGTTCATGAGTGTGTCAGTATCCCCCCTTAACACGATAAGTGCGGCACGACGCAGGTATGAAATACGCCCTGAATACGACATAGCCGCACTTAAGATGGTAAGAGTCATCGATTAATTATCGTCCATCAGAAACCGGTAACGTCATTTACGCCGATTACAAGAGTGGTGATTGATATGCGAACATCACACTCCACGACAATCACTATTACATGAGAATGAAGTGATGATAAATAGTGATGTAGACTCCAGGCTCCGAGGGGCGTCAGCCCTCAACACCGAAATTGTACTGAAGCTCCCCGTCAAAAACTAAAAAAACAGCATTTTTCTGTCGCCATAATAACAAAGAAGCTATTTCGTTTAACGGTTTGATGGCTTGAAAAGTTCGGCCGTTAACAAATGGCCAACTCAAAACAGAGTCCAAAAATTGCTAGCGATGAATGTGAACAAGAGCCAGAGAACTGCTGCCGTAACATTCTCGATCGAGATTTCTGAAATGAAGTAAAGAAAGGAGAGCGTGCTAAGGATATGAACGTTAATAGCAGGAGTTCGTTAAATATCGGCAGATTAATTATCAATCAACCTAATAAGTTTTAAATTCATGGACCTACTTCGATCGTCAAATAGTTTTTTTTTTATTTTTGAGAATATAGTCCATTTGCGGTGGAACCTTAAAAACTAGTCTCACGCATTTCGTCAGCACAGATGATTTACAATATAAATAGAAGGGGCATTATTTTTCTGGACGATCATGAATTTTATTGAGAAGGAATTATTAACTAATTTAAATCAACAGGAGCTTCAGTCAAACCTCGGTATCCTGTAGGACAACCACGCCAATGGAACCTTCAAGGAACGCACCAGCTTCCTCCAGTGTATATTACTAGAATTTCAAGTGTTTCAACAATGATACAACTGCACCAGGACACTTGCGACCTGCAAATAACTATTGTACTAAAATCAAATATTCTTCCCAAATTCTATGGCAATTGCTCAACAGATAAGAACAGCAGCGATAAAGGTCACGCAAACAATGTTTGTATGAATTGCATTTCTTAGAAAACTGAAAATAATAATTTACAATAGAACACAGCTCAACTTGAGGTCAATTAGTACAATAAAGCACCGAGACAAAATTATTCATGGTCACTTCACATTGAACTTCTTTTGAATTACGATGCAGCTTCAGGCTTGCATAACTACGCATGAGGAAAGCTGACAAGTATGTGTCACATGAGACCAGCGGAACTTGTGACTAGCCATGGAAGAAAAAACTAGACAGGTTTCATTATCTTAAATACAGGTTGCGATGCATGACGTTTGAGCTGACAGGATATAGCGATAGAGTGATGCAGTGACAGGATACAGTGATACAGCAACAGGATACAGTGATACAGGACAAGGCACAGAAGCGCCCTTAGAAAAGTGCTGTGCTGCGGTCGACTTCCCGCAGTTCATTGATGAGCTCATCGACGTTGGCTCCAGCCTTCTTAGCGACCTCTCTCTTCTCTGGCAGCGGCAGGTGCAGGTACTGGAACAGGACGTTGCCGTCCAGGATGCCGCGTACGGGGTTGTACAGAATCTTGTGACGCGTGCGGAACGCGCGGCACGCTTTAGGGTTCAGTCCTGAGCATAGAGGATTTATAATTAATTCTGATATTATAGAAATGAATAAATTTTAACCGTTCTATATAAATGTGTCGTAATATTAATGCAACTTTAAAATATTATGAAGTAATATTTTTTTAATACAACGTTATATTATTCAAAAGAATAGCAAACACGTCTTGATGAGTAATGTAATAAGGAATGAATAGTTATTACCAATACGTGGCCTGCATAACCTAGGACACATTGCTGAGGGGAGAGCTGCGGAGGGCGGTGCATGAGAGGGCTACTGAGGGAGGAAGAGTGCTGAGGGAGGGAGAGTGTTGAGGCAGGTGGTGCATGAGGACGGTGTAGAGGGCGGAGAAGCGCTTATAGAAGCGCTCAGACACGGGCAGCAGGTAGGCCAGGGCGCCGTCAAGCGTCGCCATGACAGTCACGTGGCGGTGGGGCGTGGGCGTCTCCTCCAACGCCTTCGACGTGTCCGCAATCCGGCACTTGATCCTGAAGTGAACAAACATTGAGATTTTATTGTACAATTTATGTACCTAAAAAAGTGAATAAAGAGAGAATTTTTTCCGGAACATGTGTGAGCAACTAATTTATCATGTTTGCCAGGAGGCAAGTGTAATCAAGAGCAACTAACTCACCTAGTTCAGCACGAGGTAGAGGTAGCGTGAGAAAGTAATTCATTTAATTTAACACGAGGAAGGTGTAGGTAACTAATAGGTACATCTAAGTTACCTGAAGAAAGTATTGACGTGTTGACCGAGGTTGAAGTCCCCTTTACGGATGAGTCTGGTGCCCCCGCAGCTCTCCCTGTTCTCAGGACTGTACTTGAGTACGATGAGGTTCTTGTCTGAGTCTGAGACCACGAAGGCTAGCTTGTTACCGTCCACCATGTAGTCCGTATTGTAAACTTGCATCAGTTTCAGATCCTGAGGTATACAGTGTAAGGGATAGTAACTTTAAGGTAATATGGTTTATTTGTCGAAATATTAAATTGTCATTTTAGTTTAGAATGAACCGGAGGAAAGGTGCGGAATGTTAGGGTGAAATGGTTATTGTGCTGTGGAAAGCCGGAGCGGAGGTATGTGTGAGAATAGGATCCGATGTAGATATGTGAATAATGATGTGAACAGATTGTGTAAATAACTGATTTCATATTTTAGGTATGTGTATCGTGTATAGTTTACTTTATTGCTAGTATTGATCTATTTCTACTTGGTTCTTTTAGGAAAGCCTCAACCTCGAGCCTAGCGATTCAACCTCAAGCCTGAAGTTTGACTTGGAGCACCTAAGAGTTAACGTACAAGTGTTTAATAGGCAATAGAGGCAATAGTAGCGGTTCATTGATAATTTGTTTGTGCATTAAAAACTACAGTGTAATAAAGTGTTTCAAAGATGTACCAGTGATTGAACCCTATACGATCATGTAGGCAAGTTCGTATGTAGGCAATCATGTAGGCATCATGTATGTAGGATCATGTAGGCAAGTTCGCAGACAGATTCGTATGAAGGGATTCAACTGTGCAGGAATATGCTGATGTGTTCGTAGCTTTCCAGTAATTTAAACTCGGTATGTTTCCAGCAATACGGCAATAAAATTATCTCACATCAATCACGCAACTCCACGCAATATTAACAAAAATATGTTAACGAGTTGAACGAACAGCTGAACCAAATGGCTCGAATGTAAGCTAATAGATCACTAGGATACAACAATAATAAATCATGTGAACACTACACTGCAACACGCGTGAGCTGTAACCTTAGAGACGAGTGAGATTGTTCTGTTCTGCTGCTCGAAGCGCAATATTGAGATACTCTTGCAGACATCAGCGGCCAGGATGAGCGTCTTGAGCGGCACGAGTCTGTGGATGTAAATGCCCGTGTCTATGAACGCGATGCCCACGAGGTCCTGGTTGTTGCGCAGCGTCCAAATGTACATCTGCAATATACACCACGGTAATAGCAAACGCGCATTATAGGCGATGATAATTTAAAATTAATCGCTTGAAAAACTCCGACAGAATACTTTCATAATTTAAACCATCTTAATCTAAAATCTTTAAACTATCTAAAATCTAAATATGCGTGTAAATTAGAAATGGTAATTCTTCTGAATTCGATCTGTTGTTAATATCATGGATGAAAACAATGGTAAGCAACATGCCTTTTGTCCGATGGCAGTGACGAGGTTGCCGCAGCAGTGCGCTATGTTAGTGACAGGTCCCTTCTGCTCCTGGTCGTAGAGGAGCTTAAGTTTGTTCTTGGTGAGCGGCTGGCCGGGCTCTGGCACCACGTCTATAACGTCGAACAGCAGGATGCGACCACGACACGTGATGTCTTCCCCGTACCTGGCATGAAAAACACATTAACGCATGTCTTAATCTATGTTTAACCGCGGGTTTAATACACTAACATCAATAATTATGATTTGCATCATGATGAATACGTAAAGTGAGAGTCACTCCAAATCTCGAGAGCAGCAAGATTCATAAAAAAAAGTCTGCGCGAGAAAGTTTACTTGGAAATCTTCACAAACGTAATTAGAAAATGAAAAAGCACTTATTTTCAAATGTGATCGTTATACTAAAAAAAGCGTCATTACAAACAATGATTCAATATAAGAAGCAAAGACGCACGTGTAGATTGTAGCCACACAAATGTAGCCTCGGAGACCAGATCTATCGCCCTCGTAGGCGAGCATGACATTCTTGCACGCAGTTACGTGCTCCCACAAATCCAGTTCGTAATCCGTGTTTGGGATCATCTGTGAACAGCACATGAAGCCTTCAGATCACTTATACAATCGGCTAACACAGTCACGTACACGAATGGTAATAATATCAACACGGAAGAGCAACTGACGATACGATCCTATAAAATATCCTCATATTGAAAGTTTCATTTAAATTTACCTGATTCACGTTAATATGTCAATGGATCAAGAAATTGAATTAACTCCACGATGCACTGTACAGATCACGTCTTTAGAAGATTTTGCTATTAAAAACAAACGTCTGACGTTCACTACAACTAACCCTAGTATTCCCGTCGCTCTTCAAGATTTAATAGTGAGCAATCTGAAGATATTATTATATTTGAATATTCATTAATAGATCGTAAATATTTTAATATTTACAATTGTTGGCAGCCAGACACGAACCTGCCAGTTGACGGGCGAGAAGAGCTGTAAAGAGAACTTGGGGGCCTTCACTTGAACGAAACGCTCCTCCCGCTCTTCCGTGACTTCTTCCTGACATTAACATTAAAATATTTCATCAGATCTAATAACATATAAATTTTGTATTTCTTGATACGTGAACCTTATCAGAATTTTTTCAAGAACCCTGGGGGCGAATTGCTTTAAACTACACCAAAAAGTTGGACATATTCTAATTGAAAATATATGAAGGATACTACCTTATCATCGCCATTGAACTTCCAAATCTTGTTAGTTGGCTGTTCGATGGATGTGACGACACAGTAAGTTTTGGTCTCGATGTGGTGCACTATGTAGTGCGCCGAGCATCGCAACGGTACTTTACGCACCGGCCACTCAGCGTCGTAAGACAGGATCGTCGGCAACAAGCAGATCCGCAGGAAATCCTGACCGGACAACCAGAATATAAAAGCAAATAAATTACTGAATGAGTTGAGGATTCTAAATTCGCATACAAGCATCTCCGTATGCACGCTGTAATTCTAGAGGGTGAATAAATAACTAAAAAAAGGCCACACATTTAAACGTATAGGTATATAGGACTTATTTGTATGAGCTGTGTGCGTCATTTACTGTTGAAAAATGACGACTGGGTAAACAGTATGACATGACGGCGGACGTTTTGCCTTGAAAAAGCCAAGCGATCCAGAAAAACTGGATTGAACCGTAGAATTCCACCCTGTATAATTCATACATAAACCTATAAATTCCATTTATTTAATGCGATAAAGAGAATAAAATGCTCCTTCGTCATGAAAAAAGGAGGTGTTGTGTTCTTGAGAAACGAAGCTAACGATTCATGCGTAATAAACTGCGCAGCAACTACAGCGTGCACTAAACAAAATGAGTGAATCTTTGTCCAAATATTAATGCAATTTTTGCCTTTGTGTGAATCACCTTGACGCAGTTTGGCCCTGCAAAATAGCTTATCAGTTCTACGTGCGGAAAGTGTGTCACTATTTGAACAATACGATGCATCCATTTTTCTGAGCGCGATATTACCGTGGCAAGCCATCAAGCATAGCGGACAGAGCATGCGGATGGCAAGATGCCCGGTACGGTGACGAGCAACCGCAGCGTCTGGCACCGTCCCAGCGACCGCTGCGAGTTCACTAGTCGTATTGTCCTGACTCGCGCGTTAACATCGTGTAGCTGTGTTAAAATACTTTTAACATACATAAACAAATGAAATTCTAAAGCAAAAAAACTCTATTTGATTGATCAAATAGAACACATTAACTGGCAGACGCGAGCGACGCGTGCGTGATTAACTTGATATTGAGTACGGGGTAAAACTGCAGAATTCTACTCCCACTTGGAAATACAGTGACACGGATTATTAGGATGCAAGGTGAATGTACAAACAAATTCAAGCTAGAGTTAAATTAGAAAATGATGTCAATGATAACAATGCATAACATAATTTTTGTACGAACAGAAAGGAGTTAATGGAGCAGGTGGAAGCCTAGGTTTTTTACGACTTATGGTTTACTTACAGTTTTTCGTGGCAATTTATCTAAACAGGAACCAGCAATAAATGTGGTGTACTGAACATTTCCCGATTAATCATTCGCCAAAACAAAGAAAATTGAATCGGAATATTCCGTTCTCATTTCTTGCAGGCACAGCAAAGCTTGTGTTTCTAATTTTGCTTAGTTGTGCGCCGACAGCAACAAGGTAATCGCAAGGCACGCGTGACGTCACGACTTGGCAACGGCCGGCACATTACATTCCTGCAGCGACGGAATAGAATTCCTGGCCGACGTTTGCTTGCTTGACCGTGCACTTATTCCCGCTAGAAAGACAAAGAGGATACGAAGTGTTGTGTTGTGTAATAACTTAAATAACTGGTAATTAAAATTAGGGGAAACCAATTTGGTATGCACTTATTTCGACCCCCATTGAATTCCGGTTCAATTTCAGTTAAATTTAATTTTTCAATACAAATGAAAACAGTAAAACGTATATTAATCATAGAAACAGCGTTTTAAAATTGAAATTCACGCAAATTTTGATTAAGAACTAAATTGGAAAGCAGAGAAGCAATATGGAAGACCAAGAAATGTTCGTTCTATGTCGTCAACCTGAAGAAGAAAGGAACTTTCATGAGCGCCGTCACGGCCCATGGCAAAGATTGCTGCCATGCAGGCAGCACCACCAGCAGCTTCACGATTTTCAGCCGCATGCATTCTGGTCAAAACCGAAGACCGGGCATCAAAACGATCAGCGCCCTTTGGGGCCTGAGCGCCAGTGGCAAGCTCACGAATTACGAAATAACATTGAAGATAATCAGCACATATGGAGAGGATCAGATAGTGGTGAACCACAATATCTGCAAATCTTGCAACAGCGTGAAGATGAACCACAGCAACCGTTCGCTGGGTTACATGGCGAACACGTCCACATGGTTGTTCCGGCATGGCAGAGATTAACGTATCGTGAACCTGCTTCTTATCGTGATGAGGATAATGAAGATGATAACGAAAATGATAGTGACGATGAAGATCATGGCGATAAATATGACTACTCGCGGACCATCAACGACGAAGACACCAGAGATGCCATGAATGTAGCGTTAGCGGAGGACGAGGAAGCCTTTGGACATGAGCGACACAAGAGGAAATGTTTCGAAGTAGAAGCCGCTGTCAATGCTGCCAGCGACTCTGATGAAGAAGTGGTAAAGTAATTACGATTAAATAAATGAGAAAAAATGATTGATTATTTAGTTGTACAGCAGGCAATTTCATGAATCCATATTTGATTCATTTCTTTCACGAATGAATTTAAATTTTCAAAAGTTATCTTCATAGTAGTCGCGACGCAGTGACTTCTATACGAAAGTTTGCGCAATGGCGCAATGAAGACAATTAAAATAAACCAGTACTGGTTTTTCACTGGCTTGTCACCGAAGCACGCTCTGCCAAGCATTTCCAAAGAGTAACGTAATTTCCATGTAGAAATCTTTCATGCACTAATGCATAATTATTTGTGTGTTTTTTTGCAGTTTTTTCCGAGCTGCAAGCGGCAGCGAATTACACTGGAAGCCGTGGAGCAACTTTTCGCCTCCTTCAGTATCAGTAAAAGCAATACAACATTGCGACCTTCAGCTGCGCACCCCAATGTTTTTAGCAGGAAAATCTTGATGGACTCGAACAAAACCCATGTAGACGCATCTTGTGATGAAAATATACCAGAGAGTACAAGTACCAGTGATCCAGTTACAAAGCCGATCAATATAGACAACAAGAAACCCTCAACTTTAGAGCAGGAAAACAAACATTTTTCCAACAATATCACTAAAGATGTGTCTCAAGGAGTTACGGCAACAAAATTCCCTGATGAAGCCGGCACAGACTACGGAAATGGAGCTGAGGTGGACCGTTCCCACGTCGATGATCCCAAGGAAGGAAACTTGGCAGATCCGAGCGAAGTGCCTAACAATAATGACCAGCGAAAGGATAACATTTCGACAGAAATCGCAAAAAGAAAGATAACAATGAACAGTGAGGAGGCTTCCCATTACAATCAAGCAAACTGCAACGACCAGGAGAAAAACAGATTATGTAACAGCGAAGTTGATGGCTATAAAAGCGCGCCCGATGTCAATTGCACTTACGTATCGGGGTTACTTATTGAGGAAAATAGAAAAGAATGCACAAGCAATTCGACATCTGAAGGCAGCGATCATAAAATCGTTGCAGAAAAACTTAAAACGGCAGAAAAATTGCCAGAAAAGATCAAGAATTCAAACACAAGAACTCGCAGCGTCAGTGATGCGGAGGCAGCGAAACGAGTTATTGTAGAGAGCTGCGATGCAGCAAATATTATAAGCAGCGGCCAGTTAAAGACTTCGCACTGGGACACGAACAATACAGACGCAGTGAACAATAACAGCAAGCGCTGTGCAGACGAAGAAATTAACAGTGGAGGTGCGACCGTGCAGGGGCACGCGCTGAAGCGAGTCCGCAAGCTCAAGAGCGGCCTACGTCTGTGCAGCAACATCACGTGCTACATCGAGCAGGTTCTCTACAACTGTTGATACATCACGTGCTACATCGAGCAGGTTCTCTACAACTATTGATACATCACATGCTACATCGAGCAGGTTCTCTACAACTGTTGACACATCACTTGAAACATGAACTTTATCTCAGGAGCGGACGGCGTCTGTGTAGGATTTGATACCTAAAATTATCGACACGCTTTTCGCACCACTGAAAAGGCGGTTAAATGCACAAATTCGCTGCAACTATGAGAATTTTCCACTGAAGACGATTACAAGAGTGGGGAGAAAGATCATTCATGAGCAGCATTTTGAAATATGTATCATAGACGTTTCATTTATTTCCATTATATTGTTTTATCAAGCCATTGAAGTTTATACTGTGCCTGTGTTGTAATTAGTTGCAAATATAAAAATTATACATCATTTTCCCTCAAAGTAATTGCCTATTAACATGAACATTTCTGGGATTTTTTTGGTCACAAGTTCAACTGAAGCCTACACAGCGAATTAATTAACGATAGTGAGCAGCGTTCCAAACAAAGTGTTTTAACTAATATCGATGTCGTTTCAAGACCGATGCCTGAACCTAACTTTGCTTTCAACACCAATGAACCTAGGTCCTAGAGAGTAGGGAAATCGCGCGCCATGTGGGAGAACAGATGCAGAGGTATAATCAGCTGGCGTTAACTGACCTTATCATTGAAGTAGAGGAAGCCGTTCTGGCAGTTGACGTTCCTGAAGGGAGCGAAGCACTTGACGCCGCCATCCAGGCTCATGGGATGAAATCTAAACTCGCCCCTGACTGTTAGCAGCACCCAATGGGGGAACGGGCCACTGATGAACACCTACACCAGGCAAGAACAACCAAGCAGTGAATATTCCTTATCCATCTCATATCAGAATGATATTGAATGGTATTATCAATGCGTCATGAAGGAAGCTACATTAGAGCAAGCAAAACGTCAATTGAGCCATAAATGTTCGTAACGCTTCAGGTAAATTACCGGGAATTGCTATTAATTATTTACGATTAATTACAGGGAACGATTACCGAATACGATTGATAAAGGCTCCTTATTTGACAAATTGTTCAAAAAGTTATGCCAATATCGAATAAAACGTCACTGTTGAATGCAAAATAACTCTTAAATAGCCTGCATTAAATCACACACGAAGTGATGCTCAAATAAACATGGCAGGTTAAGCAGCTGCAATCACTTACCCCGTTGTAGACGCTGACGTTACTGAAGGCTGTAAAGAAGTTCCGTCTATCGACCAAGCCTATTTGGTTGGCGAAGGTGTGAGGGCCTTTGGGCAGGCGCAAAATCATGCGATGAGAATCGACCTTCCTGAACCGAAGCTTCAGTTGCATAACGTCTAAATCTTCACTGAACAAATACGCTTCATAAACTACGACATCCTCTCCTATTCTGGCGAATAAAACAGGCCGCAGCTTTCGGTGCCCCATGCCAACAAGCAGGAGCTCGTGTACTGTAGGCAAGCTTTTGATGTCGTCGCCTTCCTCCTCTTCTGCGTACGCAAAGTCCACGGCTGGATCGCCTTGACTGCAATCCACCAGAACTCTGTGAGCTGTTCCAGGAATCAATATATTAAGCAAATATTTTCAAGATGTAGTAAGCAGCTTACATCTTATTCTTCATTACATCGAGCCTTATAGCTAAGCCAAGTAATATCTTGATTATTACGACTAATAATACACCTATCGATATCAAACTAGTCATATAAATGAAATTTTCAAATCTCCAACATGACTATTTCACGAAACAAAATGAAAAAGCACTCTTTAAATTACACAACTACCTAACATGTCATATAAGTTGGATGAAACAGAGCTGAAAATGATGAGAAATGTTCAGTGCCCCACTGACCATATGGGAAGTCTTTTACTGCAAAGCAAAGGCGCATGTCTGGCAGGCTGTAGATCTCGAGGACGCCGTTTGCCCTGATGCCCACTACCCAGTACGTAGGCCGATGCTCTTTCTGGAATTTCTGCCACCTGAGTGAATATTTAACAACCTTTAACGTTTATTGCTGTCAATCGCGATTTCTTACACAGAGCGTCTTAAAAAATATAAAAAAAAACTCTCCACAAGCATAGACGATGTTTTCCGTGTAACAAACTGTGCTAGTATTAAATATTAATATATTTGCAAAGCTATCAGCTTGAAATAATTCACTGCAACATAAACATGACGTAGGTACCATTTGTTCTTCTGCTTCTGCTGCTCAGCTTGGAAGGAAGTTGGAGGGTCGAAGACGCTGGCCATGGCGTTACCGTACAACATCTCGTCCTCGTCGTCCAGCTCCCTGGCACACAACGCGCATACAAACTTTATTTAAATTATCTCCCACGGAACAATAATATCATAAAAAGCGATAAAAACAATGTATTGAAAAAAATAATATTATTCACGGAAATACAATCATCAGCCAAAACGCGTTTAGTTGAGAAAAAAATTCTCCCAGAAATTTTCTGACAACTTTATAATTTAATCTAAATCCCACATATATGTATTTGATTTGATACAAATCCGGTGCTTATAAAAATATAAATCCAAGAAACATTTTAATGTAGCAGCGCACTTCTTGAGTTCAGCTTCAGTTTTGACGATCTTCTGATGCGGCACGCCCTCGTCTGGGAAGTTTGTAGTGAACAGACCAGACACGTCGCAGTACGCGCTCAACGTCTGCAGCTGTAGTCTCTGAACAAACAATGTCTATGCTCGGGAAACTAGCTTTCATCTCTGAACAATGAACTTGAACATAAGATGTTTGTTATATAAGGGGTGGTTTGGAGAACAAGTTTCATGATTTGTAGATGAATTTCGTGCTAATTTCTGTCTAATTTCCAGAGGAATAAAAGTCAGCCGGACGGAAATAACGTATGTAAAGTGAACTACTTCTGCGTTATTGAGCAGTCACAGGAAACCAGTTCGAAGGCACGGAAGTTGTTATAAGCACAACAACGAATCACGAAAACAACACTTACTTAAGCGATCATGTTAAGCTACAACGATCAATCAATTTAAAGTATCAGCAACAATAGCTTAAACGATCCAGTTAAGTTAAAAATATCAAGCTAAAGGATAAAGTTTTATTATAGGAAATGAAAGATACCTTGGCTGAAGCGGACTTGGTGACGACGAGGCGCGGGTGAGGTCGCGTGTGCAGGGTGAGCACGGCGACGGTGCCGTCCTCGGCCAGCACCACCAGGTGAGGGTCAGCGATGGTCGCGCACACCAGGGCGCTCTCGCTCAGACCCTGCACGTCCTGCAGCTCCTCGGCGCCGTCCAGCAGCTTCACGCCGAACTCGCGCACCTGAAGCATCAATGAAGGCCCAAGAAAATTAACATTTTTCATTCAAGTTCTTTGCTTGATTCGACGTCGATACAGAATAGAAACTAAATTTTAGTCTGAAGTGTTCATTTTGCAACATACAAAACTTTCGTTTTTCATGGGAGCGTCAATTTTTAACACGTTGACTACGATTGCTTCATCTTGTACTATTATTTCATTTTTTGTGCTGTTTTTGAACAGGGTTGCCAGACAGTCATTTTTTCCGGACAAATTCCGTGATTTAGTTTTTCTCAATTGCGTTGGCACTTGGCCGGCTAAAATTTATGATAGGGGTAATTCCTAATTAAATTTTAAATACTGCAAAAAGGAAATAAATGAAATTTTTATAGCGGAACCTACAAATCAGCTAGTATATTTTGAATTATTGGCCTTTTTTGTTCTCGGATTTGGATGATTTTAGGCAACCTGAACTACTATGTGCCGCTACGTCCTGGAGAAATACATTTCGTGGTACGCATATGTACCACTTCGTAGTCAACGTGTTAATTTGAATAATATTTTTTTCTTCGAAGTTAAAAAATAGTGTTAAAAATAATGAAGACAAAAATTTGATAATAATTAAGTCATGTTTAGAATGCAACCAAAATACTGGAGATACGGAACACACCAAAACACAGCAGGTTTTGACAAGCAAGTCTCTCACCTGTACAATGTATCGGTAATTACCGATGTTGGCGGCAAAGATGGTCGGCTGAGTAACATCAAAGCCCGAGTCCTCGAGCTCGCTGATCTCCTCCTGCGTCTGCAGGATGAGGGGCGACGCGTCCCTGGCCAGGATGAGGTACGAGTGGTCCGTCGTCGCGGGGTCGATGGCCTTGCGTCGTCCTCCGTCCGCATTTGCGCTCCCAAATACCGTCCACATTTTGTTCACACCGGGCAGCTCAAATGTCGTCAACACCTGCACGGACATAAAAAAAATAAGAATACACTTTTTAGTACTCAGTTTTTTAACTCAGGCGTTTTTAGCGCATTTTCTCATTTGTGGAAAAAATGCATTATTGTGCTCGCCATGTCCGTTTGTCTGTCTGTCCGTCCGTCCGTGGCCTCAAGTTTTCGTCGACGAGAAAATGCGCTCTCTGTCACTCACTGCAGTGAGTACTGAGTTATATTTTAAACAGAATAGCAGCCCAACTAAAGTAAAAACAGGAATGGAGCTAATTTAAGAACTTGTTAGTTTACTGATATGGACCATCAGTGAATTGTAATTAATCTTTATACAATTTCCTTTCACTCGTAGGTCCACATAAAAATATATGAAATCTATGAAATAGTTTTAACGCATTTAAAAAAATTCTTTTAATATCACGAGCATTCATCGTCATGACATCAAAAATATTTCGATTTTCAGTATTTTTAAAAATAAAATTGAAAAAATTTCAAATGCTGAACCCACACCTGAGGCTTGATGGCACGCTGCAGCACGGAGAGCGCCCCGTTCTTGCCGTGTCCGGAGGTCGTGACAATTTCCACGCAGGGGTCCACGGAGCAGTCATACTCTTCACTCAAGAACGCTGGCTCCCCCACACCCATGTCGCCGCACGGCCCGATGTTCAGTAAACTGTCCATCACCTGCACCAGTCAATAGTAAATACATGCTTCAATGTGAATTTATTGCACTAATTGTTTGTACCTGTGTTTTAGGTTTTGAACTGATGATGGAGCTGGCCTCCGAAACGTTTTCCTTTTTAAGAAATGGTGTATTTTCTGGCTATTTTTTTTGCTTTTAAATTTTTCATTAAATACAGTATTCAAATGAGTCAGAACCGAGAGTTGAAACAGCTGAAAGTTTTCCAACACTAGATGCTTACACGACTTTACCAAAAAGGAAAAATTACCACATCCCAGAAATAGAACGAGGGGTAGTGCCGTGAAATTATTGTCACTGAGATTGAACTGTTAATTTTAAATATGAATTGAACAAGCATCGCCAAGACACGAAATGATGAACCTGTATGACGGTGAGGATGGAATACATAAGAACTGTCTTCCAGTAGAAGAAAGCAATTTAGAATTCAGATGAAAATTTTCGAGACCAATAATTTGTCTCATAACAAGAAAGAAACTAAGAAAATCTTGACTGGAGCAGTAATTTAGAAATGACAACATCAAATTATGTTGCGTGACATAAAAATATTCAGAATATTTGTAAATCACTCAACAATTTAAAGCGGTAAAATTAGAATAACGTAGTTCACATAAATATTTGAATAACGTATGAGAGTCAGCTATACTTATTATCATTAATAACAAAAAATATGCCTCTTAAGCCAATACTATGGCCAGTGCAAGAATACCTCGAAGGTATAAGAGGAGAGCTGCACGGTCGTAGTGTCTTCAGGGCCATACACCTCTAGGATATCAACGTCTTCTATGGCATCCACATCACTAGCAATCCAATCACCTGCAAAATTATTACGACACAAAATTTAGTATAAACGCAACTCAGATATTGAAACTTTCGTCATTTGTTAAGAGCATTCTAGCTATCTGAATTTCCTGTAGAATCAACTTGACAAAATGATATAACGTGTCATACTTGATATACGTTCAAATGTACCAAACACTCACAGAATATGACTGACTAAACTATATGAAGTACTCATCATTTATATAAATGTAAAAAGCATTGAACAAGCAACCAGCGTTTTTACCAAGAGTATCCATCTTTTTCCTCTTGGAGGGCGGCTGCTGTAAGTTACGTGTTCGTTGCTGTGCATCAGACCCCAGCACATCGTTGCCGATTGCTTCCTGTTGGTAGCGCAGCAACAGAGAGTTGCCCAGGCGCGACCCAAGGAACAGATACTGGTCCTCGCACACTGATAACTGGTGCAACACAAAACAGATCAAGGTTTAACAGTGTGCTGAAAACATACTGATAACCATGGCTTATAAAAAAAACAATTATATCATGAGATCACAATTACTCATTCAAAATACGCTAAAGATCAACAAGAACAAGAGCAAATAATGGAATGTAAAATGGAATTATACGATACTGTGTACTAAATATTATATTTTACTATATACCTTTCAACCAATACCTATTAATTAAATCAAACTATAAGCATTTATAACTATTTATGTGTAAGAAATTCGACAAATTATCAACTGGTTGCCTCTCTCTTTGAATGCATATAAATAGCTGATTTAATGTTACCGGTCGCTCTTGTCTCATCACGCGTCACTTGTCACTGAGCTACATAAATGCGATGCATCAATTGCCAAGACAATGAATGCTACATCAGACGTCCAACTCACAAGCCAACTCACCATAAAAATTGCTTAAACTTTACTTATGCAACGTCATGTCATTATCAGTTATATATTCATTATTCAAAAATCCTTCTTTGCTGTAAGGTAGAGCGTTTCTTATACATTTTTTTTGCAATTTCAGATGACTAAATGTAAAAAAAAGAATTTGCCTTGAGAGAAACCCAAGATTCCTCAGATATTGCGTGTTGAGTACTCGAAAACTGTGTAAGAAAAATTTGCGTAACAATTCCATGAAGATTTTCGTGACCATCAAGTAAAAAAATTATGATTAGTGATATAAATGACTCCTCTTCTGCAAGATAAATTCAAACAAACATTGTACATTTCCCTCAAGCGCCTAGCGAAAAACATGCATACAAACGTCATGCAAAAGAAACTTCATCAATTGAAGCACGAAATAAGCGTATTTCACCCACATTTGCATAACTGAAAATAAATTAACTTTATACAACTATAAAGTATGGCCAGCATAAAACCTACACAGCAAGTGAGCACAGAAGACGCAGCCTTATCAAAATGGAAGGATCGCACGGCACGCATGGAGTCGGCACCTAGTGTAACCACGTACAGCTCGCCTCCCTTCAGGGAAACCACAATGCGGTCTTCAGTTAAGAAGGCGGCGCGGCAATTGTCCAGGGTTATCGTCACCCCCTCTTGTTTACCTTTAACAAACAGCAACAATTAAAAAATAATAATTCACAGCAAGGATGATTATCCCAAATTAAAGTTGATATGATCCTCGATAACATCTTCAGAATGAATCTGCCTTGCTTATAAGACACCGAATTATCTATTATAAATTTAGTTATCACAGTTGAATGAATTTATAAACAAGATAGCTGTTTAATTCTCCATCAGTAAAATAAAAAAAAATATTGGGCAGAAATTGAAATTTTTTCTACTTAATATCTTGAACAACCGAACACATAAAAAATTCTCTTACGAAGTGGGAAGTTGGTGTTTTTGTCTGCCATTGCATTGAGTGAGATGCCATAAGGCGGCACACTCTGTGTGAGGTATGTGAGTGAGTTGTGAGCAAAAAGCAATATGCCGCCAATGGGCTTGGGCACAGGCAGCAGTGAAGAGCAGTCGTGCGGCAGGCCAGTGAGGTGCCAGATGACAGGGTGCAGACGCTGCCGCAGGTTTAGCGAGAGCGCCGCGACGGCACAAGTGTCTTGGCGAACTGCAACTCGTCTGAGATGAAAATTGAGGGAGTAAGTTATTGCCCCCAATGATCCAAAGAAATCTAGTTTGAAATTATAATAATTTTTTTAGGGTATTAAAGCAACACAGATTATGGAGCGCAAGCACACATAAGACAAATGCATCTAAAAAAAATGTTTAATGAACACATTTCATCCAAATGCAACGGCAATCACCAATTTATACAAAGACTCTTGTTTGATTTGGTATCTTGCTACAAAATGTTTCTCACATTTGAAAAAATTATATTTAATAATAATGTTCAAGTGGAATTCAAAGCCTACTTAACAAAAAAAAAACATTAATAGCAACAATGGCTTATTACGAGCTTATAAAACATGTAAAAAAGTATTTCAATCGTAGTATTTACTACCATATTAAAAAATGAGTAGATACTCACCCAGGAAATGTTTTGATGGGCTCATAGAGAACCATTAATGTAGGGTCATAGTAGCCATGCAGGAACTGAATATCAAGAATATTATCAATGGATGGAGTATCAAACTCTTTAGGGTCAATGATGTAGGACTGCATAATTGGACCCCGATGGAGGGGGTTGTTGTAGTCAACTGTGTCTGTTGCCAAGTCCCGACGGAAGGGCAGAACTACTATTTTGCGTGCATAGATCAACATTGCTGCGCAGCGAGTGTCTGGGTCCACTCTCACAAGAGGTAATGCATGATTGTAATGAAAGCCTCCCTGTTCATGAAAAAGAAAAGTATTAGAATAAATAAAAGACATTATAACAAAAACTTCATGCTTTGTTCTTATCTTATGGCTGTTTTTAATCAAAGTCATAATCACAAATCAGCTTTGCATGGAATACCTTAAGTTCTTGAGTTTCAAAGTAATGAAGAGAGGTAGTCTTGAGATCGTGCATGTGATGGTCATACTCCACAACTGAGAGGCGGGCATCTTTGAATGCCAAAAAGAGAGAATCGTGACGTGGGTTGAGCTTCACACTGGCCATAGAAGCAACACTGTCATGAAGCACGTATGTTGCCATGCACTCAAGCTTGACTTTTGGAGGTTCTTCATCTGAAATGTTACATGTATATACAAATAATGAAAATTAATTAGTACAAGCAGGGAAAAAACAAGGTTTGATTAGAAAAATCTGTAAAAAAAATTTACATTATATTTCACCCAAGAATTAAAAAAAACCTTACTTGAATTCAGAGAAAGCAAATGATAGATATTTGGATACTATCAAAGCAGGTTAAATTAGCAAGTCTAATTATATTGATGGTGTTTGAAGAAATAGAACTTACATTTTCCTCATTCTTCATGGTGGATAAATAATCTATGAATTTTGATAACAATACTACTACCCTATGCATATATACTATGAATGAATAATGCTCTACAATAGTGAATAAAACTTAGAATTAAAATTTTACCTACATCATTCCCTACCCGGGATTAAATTTATGGACTCTCGTACCTGTATTACATTTCTTGGGAACAAAGAAATTTAAAATATCTCAATTTACTATCACAAAAATGTTTATTTTAATGGCTTGGGAGCCTAAATTAGTAGAGCTCAGAATTTTTTAGGCACTTTTGCAGATAAATTCATTTCTAAAAGGCTATTCACCAACACAAATATAACTCACCATCATCTGATCTATTGGTTTGTCTGACAGGCAGTTCAGGTACAAGTCTGTAAACTTTAAGAACATTACTGCAAGTGAGGATGAGACTTTTTTCAGATTGACTGAAGAAATTACAGTAGAGTGAATGCTCCACTCCAGTAGCTTGGTGTGTTGTTGTACATAGTGTGTACATTTCTACTGTGAACCATACACAGCTTAGTGAGCACAACACCTGAAATAGAGGGGAAATAGTAAATTGCAAGGATCAATAATTACACATCAAAAACTGTTAAATTCACATAATGAACTTCAAATGTATAAAAATGCTTTAAAGACATAAATTACACAATCTTGCTAAATTCATGATAGGCTATCACCGCCAACACATGAGTCATCACAGTAATTTTAGTGTAATTAGTAATTTGCTAGTACTTTTTTTTTATTTAAGTTTTTTTTTTATTTTTTATTTTAGTAATTTGCTGCTCCCTGACTGGCAGCTACATGATTTAATTTGAATCTCAACATACCAAGAATAACTTTGTAATAATGTGAAATCTTTTAAATTTTTTATTGTCAACTAGCATAGTGGTAGCCAAGAGAAATTTTGGTGGCTTATATTTTGTTGCCTGAGCAGCTCCAATATCCTACCCAATAACTTGTGTATGATTTCATAAAATGTTAAGTCCATGAAATACTACCTATAGGTATTTTCAATTGAACAAAAATGCCTTCCATGACTTTTTAGTCACGGTATTTAATACCTACCAAAATTATATATAAGAGCTGAACTATTTCAGAAGAAAGTATGATTTTTTTAATCCCGTACAGTCATGACATGGAGAAATGATACTTTCCACACTTCATACTTGAGTTTGAAATTGGAACATGACCAATAGACCATTTCCTCATAAGCCATGCATAGGAAGATGTGCAAGCCATGAAGGAAGCTATATGGATGAATGAATTTATTTTGAATGGACAGAGAGGTGGATGGGAATGGTATGCATTCCTAAGAGGTGATAATAGGGAAAAAGTTCTGAGAGTGGATGGGCTGAACATAGGAGGAGTGTATGTGACTGAGAGAACAAGAATGGCTGAAGCTGTGAAAGAGTTTTGGGAAGACATAGGTGGAGTGAATGAGGAATTTATGCCAGATGAAAATGTCATATCTCTAGAACATAAAGATCTGAGCGGTATAGATGGGGAAATTACAAATGTGGAAGTGAAACGGGTGGTGGAGCGACTGAAGAATAATAAGGCAACTGGAATGGATGAGATACCATATGAGATGTATAAGTATGGAGGTGTGAGTGCAATTGGTAGACTGACTGACCTATTCAATGTTGTTTGGATGAATGAATGTGTACCTGAGGCATGGAATGAAAGCCAGGTTACCTTGCTGCACAAGGGAGGTTACAAGAGCAAAAAGGAACTGAAAAACTACAGGCCAATTGCTCTTGCTGACACCTGTAGTAAGATTTTCTGTGCAGTTTTGAATGAGCGAATGCAAATATGTATGGAGCGTGAAAGAGTACTTGGTGAGGAACAGAATGGTTTCAGGTGTGACAGAAGAGCAGAAGATAACATATTTGTTGTGAATGAATTGATTGAAAGAATGAAGAGAGATGGAAAGAGAGTGTACTTGGCGTTCATAGACAGAGAAAAGGCATATGATAGAGTTGACAGAAAATTGTTGTGCCAGATATTGGAAAAAATTGGGATGAGTGAAAAGTATGTGAGGATAGTTAAAAGTATGTATGTATGTGAACACTCGTGCTAAATATAGGCTTGGAGATGTAGAGACTGACTGGGTGAAGTGCGTGAGGGGTGTTCGAAGAGGATGTATCCTGTCTCCACTTCTCTTCAGCCTATACACTGAAGAGATGGCTGCTAGACTGAGAAGAATGGATGTGGGAGTGTGTGTTGGAGATGAAAGACTAAAAATGGTATTGTATGCGGATGATGCAGTAATAATGAGTGAAAATGGTGTTGAACTTCAGAGTATGCTTGACTGTATAACTGAGTATGGCAAGGATTTTAATGTTCTCTTTAGCCCAGAGAAGAGTCAGGTGCTAGTTGTGAATGGAGCAGCTGAGGATGTGGGTAGAGTGTGGCAGCTGGGAGGAAATGTGATTGGGATTGACAAATAGCAATAATAAACCAATGAAGTTCCCCTTGAACTTCTCTTCCCCTTGATTACTTCTCAACCTTAACACAAACTTTCACACCTCTTCTAGCCTCTTCTCTTTAATGTTGTTTCCACCTGGCTTGGTCTCCCTTCCTTATTCTTACTAACAAATGAAAATGTGATGCGTGGCTGATGGCTGTTGCAAAGGCCTGACCCTGAAATTCTTTCTCTCAGAGTCACCACGCCCTAAATCCAAATCCAAATCCATGTTGTTTTATCAATCTGCCTATTGTTATTTATCAATCAATCTCTTTATTGGCAAGAATTTATCAATCAATCTCTTTATTGGCAAGAATAGTTCAAAAATGGATGCAGGCAGTACAATCACACATGAACATATATACTCTGATTGTTCAACCCTTGTAGGTATCCTTAGTCCCGTCAAACGGGGTAATAAGGGATGGTTTTGAGCGTTTTTTGTTAATAACTTATTACCATGAAACATTTCATAAACAAATTTTGGCTCATTCTAATGGCCTTTGCTAGGGCTATAGTATGGCATCTCCAAAAAAATTCCATATGCTGTATGTAAGGTGCTAGATGCAATATAAAAGGTTCCTGAATTAATCTGGAAACAGTAATAAATAAGGGACACTTGAAATAAAACTCAATTTTAAACATTTGAAAAATGCAGAGTGTACTCATCTATTACTAACAGTACTCTGAGTCTGAAGTCCTCCTCTTCTGCCTGCCTCTGCATTCAGGCTGGCATAGTGACAAACCAGAGATTTTTTAGAATCAGTCCATTTTTAATTTCCTCATTTACCCAAGATTTAAACTAATTTCTTATGTAAGTAGGCTAACGGTAAGTTTGTATGATAATGCTGGTATCCAGGATACTTCACTGGTCTACTTATAGGACTCAAAAATGAACTTGGGAGAGAGTCTGAAAAACTCTCTGCTTTGCCACTATGCCGGCTTTATTTGCCGGGTCTGCACTCTGCAGATAACTTAACTTGCTGGTCCCCATATGAGGTTCTACCGTTCTAGGCTTCTAGCCCTGGCATAGTGGCAAAGCAGAGAGTTTTTTAGACTCTCCCTCAAGTTCATTTTTGACTCCCATAAGTAGACCAGTAAAGTATCCTGGATACCAGCCTTATCATACATAAGAAATTTGTTTAAATCTTGGGTAAATGAGGAAGTTAAAAATGAACTGATTCCAAAAAATCTCTGGTTTGTCACTATGAGCCCTGGTGAGCATAGTGGCAAAGCAGAGAGTTTTTTAGACTCTCCCTCAAGTTCATTTCTGAGCCCTATAAGTAGAACAGTAAAGTATCCTGGATACCAGCATTATCATACTTAAGAAATTGATTTAAATCTTGAGTAAATGAGGAAATTAAAAATGAACTGATTCTAAAAAAGCTCTGGTTTGCCACTATGCTGGTGAGTAGCCCACAGAGCTACCGTACACCTCTCACTCTCTCGACTCTCCTCAGCTATACCTACTGCTTTTCAATCAAGTTATGAAAACAATCAAAACCTTGCAAAAGAAATTCAACAGGTACAATTTTCCCCCATGATTTTTAAATACAATCAGTATGAATCAGAAATCCAAAAATTATTGGTTATGGAAATCTCGTTACAGTCTTGCATACTTGCAGCTTGGAGTCTACAAACTAGAACTACAGGAGACTAAGTCAGTGCGTGGAGACTGGAGAGTACTGTAACGGCGTAACCAATGTTTTCTACAGTCCACACTAGCATGCTGCATGAACACAATTACGCTCTAAAATTATAATGTTGATCTAGGTAAGGTACCTATTGATTTCAACATGAAATTTGTGAACTTCAATCCTACTTTTTAGATTAAAATCAATTTATTACATTTTTAAATTATATTCAATTTATTAAATAATTCAATTAAAATCAAGTCATTACATTTTATAATTAAATTAAATCTATTAAAGAATCACTTTTGACAATGTCAAAAATGAAAAATCCTAGGTAGGCTATTTGAATAATTCGACCACGATTGAGCTGGGCTGGGCAGCTGGCAGTGGAAATTTTTGAAATTCGACCAGTAAAGCAGCCATTTAAATCTCAAAAGCAAAGCAACACTCCAACAGACACTCACGTTCAGCAACTCCAATAGGAGAAATTTACTGCGAGACCTTAGAGTATGGCATAACGTGATTGACTAACTTCGAGAAAATCAGTTGAAAACGCGTTCGGCAGCCGTCGGACGCCGTCAAGCCGGAATCGGTATTTTCAGGAGTCGGAGACTCGGTGTCCGTATACGGGCCGGAGAGAGTCAGCTGCGTTCATCGAGTGAACATCTCTAGTGTCTATCGCCCTTGATTGCGTAAAGTTAACCGGCAAATAATAATTGATCATTCACGTTTAACTTGATCTTGGACTATACTTCTATATATACCTCGAGTATATTTAGCGAGGGTCCCGTCCAGAGTCAAGAACCCGGCTGGCTTTCTCGCCCCTCCCCCCTCCTCTTCACTTCTCTCCACGAGAAGATGTAGGTATAGTAGGTAGGACGTAGGAGTAGGTTTGTGGGCCAGCCAAGGTTTGAATTAGGTACCTACGGTAGTTAAAATCCCATTCCCATCATTTTAGTTCACTATTATTATCTCTTGCATATTAAAGTTATATTATTTTTCATGAAACCCTGGCCACATCATTAAACAACTTGTCAATGTGATTTATTTATTTTTCATTTGCATTTATATCTTTACATATAGGTACTGTGTACTGTGTGGTGTGTCAAGTGTATATTTTGTGTCCCAAGTCCAATCAGTTAGGATTCCTGCATAGTTTTGAATTGAGGTTTGAAATTTGGTAATATAACTAGAGTATTTACTAGGGTAGGGCCTATAATTAAATAAAGATCATTACTTGTAGTATAATAAAGTTGAATAAACATGAAGTTTCCCTATTAAAATATTATATTTCGTTGGTCATCAACGTTTATATCAAGTATCAACTACGCGAGTCGAACTAACAATAATAAAATCTAATAAATGTCTGGGACTCCGGGTTACTTTTGACTCTTCTGCTTGTCGGATACGGAACATACGGTAATCGTAAACTGCGGCTATTAAACATACAAAATGTAAAAATACGGTGTTCAGTGTTGCCATATGATTTTGGAGATAATATCTTCCACAATAAAGTTCTAGATTTCTCATTAACCAAATTTCCGTATCAAGACAAATCATACCGTAAAATGGGGTAACTTAGGCCGGTGGGGTAACTTAGACAACTTTTTGTTTTTTTAACAAAAACCCCCATAACTCAAAAACTATTTGACATAGAAAAATTTTGTCAATGGGCATTAAAGGCCTAATACTGAGGCTACATAACACAATAGAAAGATTTAAAAAGTTTGCAAATCTAATAGGTTAAAATTTAAAATTGTGACCCACGAAAAAAAGGTATTATTTAAAGCCTGTCAGAGTACCCCCTCCAATTTTTTTATTTTTTGGTTAAATAACTCCAGGTTTTGATACATTGTAGTAGAACTCTTCTAGTTACATATGCAAATGACAAATTTTAGGAAAGTGTCCTAGCTTGCAAATGGGGGGTGCCGCCCCCAAATGGGGTAACTTAGACCACCTAATGTCAGCCCTGACGGGGTAACATAGACCAGCTTGGAAGTTAATATAAAATTACCATATATAACATATTTTATGTTTGACAGCCTATTTATGTTTTTTCTTTATGTTTCAGACTGTAAAGAGTCTTATATATGGTAATTTTAACTTAATTTCCAATCCAGTCAATATTACCCCATCAGGGCTGCCATTAGGTAGTCACATTTCCCTCATTATGGGTGCCCCCCATTTGCAAACTATGACACTTTCCTCAAGTTTGTCATTTGCATATGTAACTAGGAGAGTTCTACTACAATGCACCAAAACCTGAAGTTATTTGGAGTTATTTTACCAAAAAATATAATTGATTTTACCACCCTGTCTAAGTTACCCCAAGAGCTGGGGTAACAAAGACCATCACTTTTTTTGAAATTACATAAAGACTATGAGAGGCAGGAGCCAGCAATTTATGGTGAGTGAAGCTAGAGTATAGACCTGTATTTTGCATGTTTCAATTCAAGTTTAATTTAGCTAGTAAAAAAATGGTATCATTTCTAATAAAAAAAGTGGTCTAAGTTACCCCATTTTACGGTATATTATTGAAGGATAATTAAAGGCATATAGTCAGATGGGGTAAGACAGGACCGAAATCACTAACAAGCCCGTAGCATCTATAGTCAAATGGGGTAAGACAGGATCACAGCCTTCATGGGGTAAGAAAGGACCGGCCCATGGCATGCATTCTGATTGCACTGAATTTAATTTGACAAAAGAATATGTTAGAGCAATCATTGCCTGTCATTTCAGTGCTTGTTTCAACCCTCTTCTGCAAATAATGAATTTCTGGCTAATTTTTAAAGAAAAC